TACACTGCTAAGTTAGGGACGACTAGCGCAGATAGCCCTCGTGTAGCTTTGCGCGAAATTCAAAAACAAACAAACAAGTTGAGCGTAGTGATAAGTATTTTACAACAAAAAGCAGCTGTATCATTAATGTATTACCCAGTAACAGTTGATGTACAGATGTTCATGGTCGGCGGGGATAAACATTGTTATTGTATAACAAAACTATAGTTTTATTTGTTAATGTGTAGATTCATTCCCTTACAGACTACGAAGTTCTTTCATGTGAAGAGAAATTTAATTTGAAAATAAATCATTCAGTAAAATATGCACTGATAGAATCTATCCTGAGAGGTTTTAAAACATCACCTAGAAAAATTGAAATTGAATTCCAAACAGTCATGAAAAAATTGTTTTCCTAGTCATCACTTGTACATCTCGAGTGGAAATGGAAAGAAATACAAATCAATATTATCATATATATATATATATTAGGAAACACTGTTTTAATCTATTTTTTCTGAAACATTTTAAACAAATAATAGTTTAAACATCTAACAGTCCTCCCTGTCATGGTAAATATCGTGTACGATAACCTATGTCAAATTATTAACCTTGTTCAATCATTAAAAACTAATTACTAACTACTTTTACCCCACGTTTCTGCTGCTAATGTCATCGTAAGAAAATCCATTTTCTGTGTTTGTAGTGTACGAGGTTCGATCCTGGGTCTTGTTATTCACGCGAGTAGAACTTGAATGTTATTCAAGACTGGTATTCAGGTTTTTCTGACGTCAGTGCTAGGTTTACTGAGTGCGTTATCAGTTAGGTGGATGTAGAAGGCTTCTTTTATCTTTATCATTCAGTTAACTTAGATACCCCAGTAACTATGACAACGATTGATAACCGACCGCCACAATTTTACCCTATTTTATGTGATATTCCTTGTTTTACTGCTGTTCATGGTAGTTATAGTACTATATTAGAAAACAAAATGCTACCCCTCTTACCTATAAATTATAACTCTGTATTATAAGATGTTAAGAATTTACAAATCCAGTCCTTAAGAATTGTTAATGTACTTTCTAGACACCCTAATCCATTCTATTAAAATAATTACAACGCAATTCGTTATTCTAGAGGTTATGTAATTTTAATGTGCATGTACCTTAGATAAACATATATGACACAGTCGTATTAATGTAATCGGTATAAACCCCCATTGATTCAGGTAAAGTTTTATCACAAAACAAATTTAGATAACGGAACTGTTGTGTCGTCTAATCAAAACAAATGATATTCGAATTATTTTCAGTGGAGTCCCTTAGAAATACGTAAATAAGGAATAATGCTCGTTTTTAGGGATAACTGTACAGCTATTCACAACGTGCGAGAAACTAAAGGTTTATTATCTTCATCCAATTAGAATCAGCATTAGCATTTCGGGCAACTCCTAATTCAGAAAAGAGATGTTAACAAAATATCAGCTGTCCTAAAATAGATATAGAAACATAAGGTAACTTTGGTCAAACAAAGGGGTAACACGCGAAAATTTATACATACTCATTACAATACCTAATACTCTTACGTTTAATTGAGTACGTAGGAGAATATTTAACGTCGTTATTAATCTATTTACTAAATGGTGGACGTTTCTTTATTAACAGGAGTGAAAGAAATGATGTACGTGTATATATTCAGTTTTCATTTCAATTGGACTATCCTGGAAAAAATCCAGGATTTGCAATACTATTCGTCATATTTGCTTAAACGTCAATGTTAAAGCTTATCAATTTTGAGCTAAAAGAAAATAGCAGTATCTTCTGTATAGAAACGAAACCAAACTCCTATATAATGGCTGAAGTGCATATGTACTGTTTTATATGATTTAAACATATCGTCAGTTTTCAAAAACGTAGTGTTCCCTGTCGGTCATAATTGCTAGGTCTTCTGAAAAGTGAACATTCTGTGCTCATGTATCCACAAACAAAAGCATGGCAGTAATTTGGCTTAAAACTATTTGACCTTAAACTGAATGTTTAAGTGTCAAACCCAACAGGGGGTGTTTAGAAAAGTATTTCTATTCATGATTTAAAATTACATTGGTGGCTTAATGTGAAGAGCCATGGAGGAAGAAGATAAAAGAGAACGGTAGCTTTGAACAGCGGAGAGATGGTTTGACAACAAGCAAACAGCGGAGAGAAAACCACGGACAGTTAGAACAAAATCAACGGCCGATGTAGGACTTATGGTCCTGGTCCTTCATGGCGGCGGGGGATCTATAGTTCCAATGTTTAGAATTAGGTGTGGGGGAAACGGGAGAACCCCGGGAAAACCCACTTTCACTGGCTGGCGCCTAATAATTGCCGGCCAGTGCCCGATAAAGCTTTACTGATTATGTGAGGGGCTAATTAGTGACAAAAATGAAAGAGAGCTGCATGCTGAGGAGTTAATGTTTTAGAAAATCCTTCCTGGTGTACAAGCGGCTGACAGGCTGTTCTTGATATGGACTGTCATGAGATAGGCATTCGTCTTCACTGGACGAGGGGTGTCAGAAAAAGGAGAACTGGGTACTTGGTTCATCTGTAGAATTGTCTTTCATAAGTGAAGGGAAGGACGGGAACAGGCGTAGTTGTTGAAGGTTTGTTTGTTTGTTTTGAATTTCGCGCAAAGCTACACGAGAGCTATCTGCGCTAGCCGTCCCTAAGTGTAAGACTAGAGGGAAGGCAGCTAGTCATCACCACCCACCGCCAACTCTGAAAGAGCGAGCATGTTTGGTGTGACAGGGATGCGAATCCGCGACCCTCAGATTGCGAGTCGAGCGCCCTAACCACCTGGCCATGCCGGGCCAGTTGTTGAAGGACGCTTGACGGCGAGGAGTCTGAGTATAAGGCATTAGGCAAGTTTCACGAGGGGGTGGGGCAGGTCAATCTGGCTTGCGGGACGAGAAAGGATGATTTTTGAGGGAATCGAGAGTCTGGGTGTCTTTTTGTCTCTGTTAGGGTTTTGTCTATGTGGACTGGGTGGCGAAGGTGTAGGCAGTGGTTAGAGTAAAGGAGTCATGGGTTTCTGGAGCTTCTGTTAATTTGGCTAATTTGGAGGATTGGGTTGACTGGATAGTTAGAAAGGAAGAATAAATCAGGGTTGGTTTGCATGGTCGGTTACTGGTTGTGAAGGTTAGAAGGGGCTGGCTGGGACGGGGGAGGGGCCGATTACGACGTGGTTTTTCGGCTTTAAAGTGGAAGAAGTGGTACGAAACTCCGTTGTTGAGGATGATATCAGCAGTGTTTTTAGATTTCATGACGATTTTGACGAACTGTGTCGGTAAACCTGTGATTTTTGCGTGGATTCTATGGACAGGGTGGAGCTTAGTTTCATATTTTGTTTCTGTTGAGTTACGGATTTCTTCAGGAGGGGGGGTGTAGTGTAGATGCCTCTTAGGAATATCAAGAAGAGATTACTGTAGCTTCGAGGGGTGGTACATGTAACTGGTGGGACAGAGCTCTATGGCCTGTGTAGATAGTTACAGTCGGTTGCGGTAGAGGGCTGCATGAAAATACCACCTCTTCCTAAAATCCTGGTTTTGGTTGCGCCGAAAGATGCCCAAGGTATACATTCGTCGATGAAAGCTATTATTTAGCGCGGGAAGAAGTCGGTAGGTAATTCGGCGAGGTCCATGAGAAAGCAGTAGGGGACTTGGCTGACTTAAAGAACTTGGCTAAAGTTACGTCTTACTTGAAATGATCAATGCGAGATGTATCATTCGTAGACCAACCATCTATAAAGATATTAAACATAAAATAACTTTTTTATACTTATGAAATGTTCTGAGTGCGACGTGCAAGTTAGCAATGTAAGTAGCTGCTTTACGTCTCGTGTTTATCCCCCGAGTTAGACAGGACAAGTCAAAGAATGAAAGTAGCTGCTGTACGTCACGTGGTTATCCCCACCTCCCGAGTTAGACAGGACGAGTCAAACAATGTAAGTAGCTGCTATACGTCTCGTGTTTATCCCTCCCCCGAGTTAAACAAGACGAGTCAATCAATGTAAGCAGCTGCTGTGCGTCACGTGTTTATCCCTCTCCCCAAGTTAAATAAGACGAGGCAAACAATTTGACCAGCGGATGTACGTCTCGTACCCCCCCCCCCCCCCGAGTTAAACAAGACGAGGCAAACAATGTAACCAGCTGCTGTACGTCACATATTTGAACAAAGTTATGAGTTTGTGAAATAAAAGTTATGGTTCAACATTTACTTCTTTTAATTGTTTTACCATATGCTTCGCATCAGAAGTCACAGTCTGATCGTTAAATAGATTATATCATTTTTCTGTGTCGTAGAGAGTCCACGTCTTTTATTCCCGTAACTTTGGCTCTGCCATCATTACCAAATGTATCTGTTGTGATTCTACTCACAATGTATTGCAGAGAAAGATATTTTCTGAAATGGTTCCAATCGGGAAGAAAATGAAAGGAATTGTGATATTATTTTGTATCTTGTTGTTTTCTCGATAGTATATTTTGGTTGTGCTGTTAAATGGTGGAAACATCATCGACATCTTACACAGTAACTGCACTACACGGAGTGTTTTAGCCATCCCAGAAATCTTTTTATGCTTCCCCTCGTCTTCATATAACCCAAACACGATCATATGGTATTCATCTTGAAACCACTGCTGATATTAGAATGTCGCTTTCGTAATCACATAACATCTGTAGACATATTCAAGTAGTTTTAGGGTATCAACTGCGACTCTAGACAGTATATTTAATGCTCTCTGAAGGTGAAGACATCAGTTTTCTGTGCATTCTAATACACTTGTACATCAGTTACTATGATTGAACTTATGATTAGCTGTTTTTGAAACGATCATTAAAGCATACATGCTTAAAAAATGGCATCCAACTAATGAAGTTACTATAGAAATTCACGGTGATGTGAAATGGTTTAAATAGTAAATAAGGTTTCCTCTTTAATACACAAAAGTTCCTTCCTTTGATTTGTTATAAAGCTTATTTTTTAGGATGAGATGCAGTAAAACAATTTCTGTTGAAATATTTTTCAGGTCAAGACTTATAGTCAGTGGCTAACGTTAAGTAACCTCATCCAAAATATGACCAATTTACAATACAGTTATTCAGAAACACCCATATTTAAAATGACATCTTAAAAACGAATTGTCTTAGAGGAACTAACGTGAATCAAGGAAAGTTCTATTCTTAATATCATTTTCAACAATATGAGGTTGGTAATTTGGTTAAAATGAATAGAATTGTCTTAGCTTTATTTAGAGACAGGGCGAGAATGACAGAAAGTATATTTAATATATTTCACTCATAGTTTTCGAAACACTCTGTATCATGCATGTCTAAATTTTATAATGTATAATTCACAATGGTGCAATATTTTTCGCACTGGAATAAGTAATGTTAAGATAAAATCGTTTTAATTTTAAAATTTTCTTAATATCCACACGGTAGTTACAAACCAAAAATTAAACTCCAAGTAAATGAAGGTTTCTAAATAATGGTTATCTACCTGCGAAATCTCCTGTCATAAAGCCTCTTCATTCTTTAAAAAGTAATTTTTTTCTTCATTGAGAATATTATTCCGTCTGTTTTCTTTACTATTTTTTTATGTGGTAGACATCCAAGGTACAGCGGGGACTCCTTTTCGGATACAGGGGCAGGATGGAATTCTCCTGAAATGAGTAGAGGTTATTCCTACTTTTATGAAAGCAGAAAGAAGCGACAAGACCCCCAGATCCGAAAACCAAGGTCTTGGCATCCATCTCCTTACGGCTCAGATGATGAAGAGGATATATTGACAAGGGACGAGATTAGTAGAATCAAAGGAGAGCCAGTTGGAAGTCTTCCCTACGCAGAAGATACAGACAGACTTCGAAAGGAGCTTAGAAAGCTAGCAAGGAAACGAGAAACTTACGAGAGAACGAGTGAGTTCTTCTGAAAAGATCATAACATTTAAGAGAGGTTTGTTAACATACTGACAACTTACATTCAGCCAATATTCATTTCAATAATGTTTCATTGTATTATGTAATATCCATGCAATAACCATTGAGGAGTTAAGCATTATTTTTGCGTAGCGCTTTTATGTCATTGTGTGCAAGCTCTCAGAAAAGGAAAACACAACAGTTTGTTATTTAAAAATGTATGTTCAAACTATTTATTATATATTAACTGTTAAAAACTGAAGAATGTAAATCACATAGTATCTCTCAGGACAGAAATAATATTTAATTTTTCAAAGTATAATGTGTTTAGGAAACAACGTAAACTAAACACTGCCAGTCGTTTGAAGATTTAACTTATTTAAGCAAAACTCTTGCTTGTAAAAGGATTATTTAATGTTTTAGTTTTGTTTGTTTATTCTTGTCTCAGAGGATATATGTAAACATGAGAAAATAATACCTGTTTTTTCCATCATTAAAATGATGGATGTTGATGAAATTGAAACATTCAATTGATTTCCACGTACCATTCAGTTTCGGGGAACTATACTCTTCATTAATAACCTTGAATACAAACAGATCGAAGAAAAAAACGAGGGTCTTTTAATGGCGAATTGCATAGTATGTGTACAGTTTTTAGATTGAACTCTACTCGTAGCAACATAAGTAATAATTGAATCAATATCAAATAATTGGATGGATTAAGAAAAACAAAAAACATACTAGTCGCTTCTATTCAAGTATTTTTATTAGATTAAACTAAAGTTAAATTCTTACACCCGAGTGGTATTTTAGAAATGTTAAACACTTAGGGTGTAAGATAAAAATTCACCACGTATCCTAGAATGGATATGTTCGAATTACTTGCACAGAAAGGCCTGAAACATCAACACCAGCACTGGTTAATTAATTAATCGGTTTGCACATTTAGCCAACGATTTACTGTTCTGTTAATCCCACTATTACGTATAATGCTCAAAAGAGATAAGTTTTCCTATTGCTTCCTGTACTATTTACAATATTTTGTTTTTCACTGTCATTAATATAAGCACCTTGTTAATAGCAATTCTCAACTTTTCCTTATGCTTCTAAAGAAAATATACGCACATTACAGTCGACTAGAACATGTTTATGTCCTTTGTACAAGTTTCGGGTATTTCATTTGCTAGAGTACTTTTGATGTTGCTAATAATTTTAACAAATACTCTTCTATTAGAGTATTGATGAGCTTACGAAATTACTTTCCAAGTTAATTTCCTTGTGCTATTTTTACATTACTCGTTGGCTATCTTTAAGTTATTAGCTAGTTTTATCTTTTGTCTGATATGACATCTCAATCAGACTGATAACGTTTTTAACAAATCTTTCTTACTAGCAGTATATGATTTTCCAGGAAAAAAAAACAAATATCATAACAGCATCTCAAATACACGCCACTGCCGAAAGGTTTATCGCTAAACATTAAAGCTCATCAGGTCAGTTGGGCATGCAACATGTAAATCCGACGGAAAGCTATTTATATAAGTCTGGTTTGTTTTGAATTTCCCGCAAAGTTACACGAGGGCTATCTGCGCTAGTCGCTCCTAATTTAGCAGTGATATTCTAGGAGGAAGGCAGCTAGTCAACACCACCCACCGCCAATTCTTTAACTAACGAATAGTAGGATTGACCATCACTTTATAACACTCCAAAGACTGAAAAGGCGAGCATGTTCGGTGACCCACGATTGCGAGACAAGTACCGTAACCACATTTATATAAGTAATTTAAACATATTAAGTTTACTATATTTATTATTTTCATTGTGCCATCCTAACATTGCATGAATTTTCATTAGTAGTTAATTTCCTTATATTAGTTTGCGATTGGTTCCAAGTGCCTCAAAATATTGTTAGAAAAATGTAGAAATGCTCCCAATCTAATTGTACATCTGTTCAGGCAATTGGACAAGACAGACCATCCTCTACAACAAAAGCATACAAACACATTCGAAACACTGGCAACTCGCAGTTAATATTGAAAGGAAGAACGGTGGTATTTTAGTACCAACCCCATAGATATAGAACAATAAAAGAGGTACTTACTTTAAGCGTTTCGATTTATTTATACATGAGTTAAAGTCATCGGTCTTTCATAGCTGACGTTGATAACTACTATCCGTCGCCATGCCAGACAAGGCCTATTTTTCGAGCTGTTTGACTCTAAAATAACTTCCAAATCAAGATAAATCGTCGCATTTTTTAACCATGTCACTGCATACAATTTAATGAAACTCATTTTTAATTGTTTTTTATCCTTAAAAATACTGTATAATCACATATTCATTAAATTTGTAATAGCCCTTGACAATCGCGATCTTGCGAGGCTTGAGTGTTCTTTGTTGCAAACTTGCCTTAAAATGATTTTATTTGGTTGTTTTTAAACCTTGATTCTAATTGGCTCCATTATATGTGCGATTAGCTTCAAAATTCCTATTACATCCTGTAAGAGGACTCGGTTCCTCTTGGTTGCTTTCGTCGCAGATTGAGATAAACTGTACAAATAAAAAAAAAGGTCTAAAGGCACAACTGTTCTGTGCTTCACATCATGAGATGTCACGTCGATGAATGGTCTGTTCAGTGCTTTACATCACGAGATGTCACGTCGATGAGTGGCCTGTTCTGTGCTTTACAGCACGAGGTGTCACGTCGATGAATGGCCTCTTCTTATAGTCTTTCAATTTCAGGTCACTTGACGGACCACCAAATGCCCAGTTTTTATAAAAATGAACTGACGAATTGATTGATATTTATTTATATGAGTGAATTAGCCTTGTCACAGCAACAATATTTGTAGTGAAATTTGTAACTGGTTATACCATTTTTTTTACAGTCATTGTCATTTAACTTTTTATAAATAGTTTTCTCCTCAATGAATTTTGGGCATAGTATGGATGTTTAATTGTAAAGTCAATGATTACTATTTTCTTTACTTTCTTCGTTTTAGGTTGTAATGCTTCTTATCCTGGAGAAAGAATGATGCCATCTCGACGACGGGTACGAGATGCACGAAATAATTTAGGATACTTATATTCCCACAACTCTGACATGTATCATACAGGACCAACTTGGACTAAACATGATACGGGAAGTAGCAAGATAACTAGATCAGGCGATTATTTCAATGCCACAGTCCCTGCTAGCTATTCAAACCCATCCCTATCCAGGTACATGCTAATTCGGCTGAGTGTTATCCTAAATTCTGTTATCGTCCCTTATACTAAAACAGTGTGGAGTTATGTTTTTGAGTGTTATCATGATGCCATAATTCCAGCTAACTATTTAAAACATCTTTCTCCACGTATAGCTCATGCTGTTGACTATTATTATTATTATACTACAATTCCAGCTAACTAATTAATTAAAACATTTTTTTCCACATATAACTCATGCTGTTGAGTATTATTATTATACCACAGTTTCAGGTAACTACTTAAAACATTTTTCTCTACGTATAGCTAATATTGTTGAGTATTGTTATTATACCACAATTCTAGCTAACTACTTAATTAAAGCCCCCCAGTGGCACAGCGGTATGTCTGCGGGCTTACAACGCTAGAAGCCGGGTTTCGATACCCGGGGTGGGCAGAGCACAGATAACCCATTGTGTATCTTTGTGCTTAACTTCAAACAAACAAAACTTAATTAAAACATCTTTCTCCACGTATAGATCATGCTGTTGAGTATTATCAACTATAGCTCGCTACACTACAGTTCACATAAAAAGGTACAAGTAAGCAGTATTGTTTTGTACCACAATCGTAATTCATCAGCTTGTGTCTTTAAGCACAGATACAGAGTGTTTTGATAAACCACTATCCTAGTTAACTACACAACAGCTTACACACAGTAACCTCTATTTCCATGTATAAACTTAAAGCGTTAAGCTTGATAATCACAGTAACAAAAACTAGCAAAAATGAATTCAAATTTCATATTCTTTAATTACTGATTTTGACATTTATAAAGATTAATAATGAGAACTATGAACCTAGGTTTTGATGATCATTTTATTTTCGAGGTAAAGTATTTAATATTTTTGGACCTGCAGCAGTGAATGAAGAATTGACGTTAGCAGCTTCTAATTGGCCCTAAAGTCACGGCTGGCACATCTACTAATATCTAGCTTCATTATTTTCTTAAATAAAGGCAGTAATATTTAACTAGGATGAAAACTTTTATCTCATAAACGAACTCGACGAAAATATTGTCTTTGTAATCACGGTCAACTTCCATGCTAAGTCTGTTTGGCCTCTAATACAAAGCCATTCAGTAAAGGTATCACAAACGAACATTGAAGTGAAATATTACTAGAACAGATGTGTAAGTTGGTAAAAACCAAACCCATCCTGATTCTAACAGATGTGTAAGTTGATAAGAACCAACCTAATCCTGATTCTAACAGATGTGTAAGTTGATAAGGACCAACCTAATCCTGATTCTAACAGATGTGTAAGTTGATAAGGACCAACCTAATCCTGATTCTAACAGAGGAGTAAGTTGATAAGGACCAACCTAATCCTGATTCTAACAGATGTGTAAGTTGATAAGGACCAACCTAATCCTGATTCTAACAGATGTGTAAGTTGATAAGAACCAATCTAATCCTGATTCTAACAGATGTGTAAGTTGATAAGAACCAACCTAATCCTGATTCTAACAGAGGAGTAAGTTGATAAGAACCAAACCAATCCTGATTCTGGTATCTTAATTATGCTGAATTTACATTATCTTATTTATTATCACCAACAGGAAATATAAGGAGTTAGGTACGCCCATATGGTTTTTGGTTTATATTTTAATTGGATTAAAATAATTATTCAAAGAATTTTTTTACCACACAACACTAACGACGCATTACCCACTTTACAAAAATTATTACTTATATAAATAAGATTACATTTTCGTTTACTAGATATGGGTATGTTCGACAACCTGACGTACTTTATTACGGTAGCGAACCAACAAGCCCATTGGCCCGTTTTCAAGAAAGTACAGTCGAAGATAAAAGTATGTCTAGAGGATTATTAACTATCCCAACAACTACTGCTACTCCTTACAAAACTCGGCGCCAGAACCGATTACAAATAGAGTCCATCTTGGACTTCTCTCCTGCAACAACAGACTCTGAGACGCCACCAGATCACTCGGAAAATACGTCGGCTCCTCCTGGCATTGACTATTGTTCTCAAAATCTCTTGGAAGATTTCAACAGCACCAACATTGTTGCTCGTCGCTGTAAGTACTGTTGGATCTTTTTTCTAAGTAGAGAGGTTGTTGAAGTAAATTTTTCTTTATGTTTATGTAATCTAAGCCCATTACTGTAAGGTATGCTAGAGATGTAGCTTTTAGAAAAAAAATCCAACAGTACTTACAGGGACGAGCAACAATGTTTAATGTTTAAATGCATTCGCTTGTACGGAGAGAGGTTGTTAAAGTAAATTTTTCTTTATGTTTATGTAATCTAAGCCCATTACTGCGGGGTATGCTAGAGATGTAGCTTGTACAAGCGAATGCATTTAAACATTAAACCGATGACAAAAAACAAAATGAACAAATATATTAATTTCATACAGGTTTCAAACATTTATAATGTATAGAAAACCAAAGACTTTTGTCTTAAACATACATCGATATCTAACATGCCAACTACTGTTACCATTTAAGTAAATAAACAACCATTCATATAACTGTGTATTAAGGTACTGATATAAAACAAAAAACTAAATTATTTTCCGAAAATAAAACTTTTTTCATACCTAATCGTAGAACTACACAATACGATTTTTACTATTTTCAAAAATTTTGTTTATTTAATAATTTCTCCTTTTAATTTAAAAAAAAAATGACAAGGAAGAAACAAAAATATGTTGTTGTGTTTTTTTTAATTCAATCCACTCATATACAACATCTCTGCAATTGTCGCCCCCCAGTGGCACAGCGGAAAGCCTGCGGACTTATACTGCTAAAAACCGGGTTTCGATACCCGTGGTGGGCAGAGCACAGATAACTCTTTGTGTAGCTTTGTGCAATTGTTTCTTGGGGGGGGGCTAAAAGAGTATTGACTTTTTGCTAGTCTTCAGTTTGGATTTTTTACTATCACTAATCTAAGAAACCTTTATTTGAAATAAAGTTCTTTAAAATTCTTTCCCAGTTTTATAAATGTGTTTCTTATAGCGCAAACCTACATAATAGGGGCTCTGTCCAACACGAGGATTGGAACATCGGATTTTATCGTTGAAATCCGTAAACTTATCACTGATCCACTGAAACTTTTTATAAGTTCTACAATGTTTTTAAAAGTATGATTCAAAATTAATGTATCGCACAAGTAGCCCGATTGAATAAATCAAATAACTATTTTCATTTATTTTTGTGTGACACATGCGATGGGTATTACTGGTTCTTACTTCTCAGTTACCTACTTATAAATATAACTTAACACGTTAAACAATCTTTTTTAGTGTTGATGCCCGTAAATAGCCTGTACTGAATTTTTTACTGTAAAATAGATATGGTGACAATCATACTGATTGTGTAGATGAAATGGACATCATTATTTGCTGGTATAAAAAAAAAGAGAAAGTACTGTTGGTAGCATAAGATACATACGTATATCCTAATGTAAAAAGCGATATGTATATTAATGATTTCCATAGAAGATCATACGATAGTAAAATCACAAACACATAAGATAATATTCGCACATATAAACCACAAACAGTCAGCTGTAAGATAGTTCTATATTACCCAGGCAGACATGAATTGGCAACAGGGTTATTACTCGCCTGTAACACGAAAGGCAAGACGAGAAAATCTCTTCAATGAAGACAGCCTATAATTCTCTTTTCAGCTCACCAATCCCAAAGAAACATTAGCAATTCTGACCGGTCTAGAGGTCGTCCGAGAGATGGAACAGCTAGAGAAGAAGAATATAGGGAGGAGAAAGTCCAAGTAAGAACGTACGAAATTTCAGTGTTTGTAAATTAGATTTAGTTCATTCTTCTTTGTTTATGTAGTGCATGCCAGTTCAGTGTGACTGTACACGTGTTTTTTTTTAATTAACTTAGATTATATAAATTATTTAACTTGATTCCCTCAATTATTCATGCTTATTGTGCATTCTTGTAATTGATATCATTAAAAAATCTCATTTAATGCTGGAAGACACATGAATCCCCAACTCGGCATTCAGTGATAGAAGAATTATTTTTCTATTCTTCTTTATTTAATATCTCGAGATTTGTTTGAAAAATAGGCCTCATCAGGCGATTAGGATATAATGTATCTTTAAAAAGCAAAACAAAAAAGAAACCCATTTAAACTGTCAGATAAAGTATCCTAGTGCACGTAATCGGTGGGGAAGATTATCAAAACGCAGCGGTATTAGTCAAATCGTATAACCCTTATATTATCAAATAAAAAATAACTGACAATGAAGGAAATACGAGACGAACTTATGGTAAAAAGTAAGTCAAACTCTAAAGATAGAAAATTATGAGTTTGGACTTAGTAACTAGTATAACAATATTAATTTAAGATATAATTTCACAGTTATGTTCATTAAACTGTCAAGAGACGAAAATATAAGAAATAACAGACAGAATATCACACACGTCTCCGAACGAGTTGACAGACTCGTTTAAGGTCTTCATAATGCACGTTGTTTATATATGTGTTTCACACAACACACAGATAAATACTTGATATGGTTTTCCATCAGGAGAAGAAACCACACAAATGGGGGTGTACATACAGCTTTCCAGTAAAGAGAATTCTTCTAACACGGGATCCGAAGGATCGGTTTGTAAAGGGTAAGTATACAAGTTTTTTTATGATCAGCTTGTTTATATTTATGTATGGTTTTCACTGAAACTGGTGTAAAGATATTATCGCTTTTTACCATTTTTGACATCTAATTAAGGTAGTTGGCCACTTCCATATTACGTCCACCAGGGTCTGTTTAAGTGGGGTAATACTGTGTCAAACAGTTTATCACTGTCTCACAAATGTTTGTATAGCTTATATGTGATGCATTCATTTCGTTACACCTTACCTTTGTTGAACAAAAGTTTTTTTTTATGTGAAACCTACTGAATATCTGGAGCATGTACGAGATGTTCCGCAAAAAAAATGGTTATCTATTAAAGATTTAAAATAGTACTAAAATGAATAAAATATCAAAATGCAGAGAACATGTGTACTACACCAGTATTGTTAATTTTGGATTACCGTACACTATTACAGACTCTTATAAAACTGCCCCTCAGTGGCATAGCGGTATGTCTGCGAACTTACAACGCCAGAGACCAGGTTTCGATACCCGTGGTGGGCAGAGTAGAAATGACCCATTGTGTAGCTTTGTGTTTAATTACAAACAAACAAGTCTTATAAGACTAGGCTTGGTGGAACTACTTTATAAAATCTCTTGTATTCTGTAACTCTTAAACTTGTTACGTTGTTAGTATTCATAAAACTCTTTTAGCCTAGAGAAAAACTAAATGTTTTATTTTTGTGACTTTATCGGGAAAAATCAATGCATAGGTTTGCAGAATTCTGGAAAATTTCAGAACGTTAAAAATGAAACGATGATGATCATAATCAAATTAGCTCTTGTATATTTTATCAGAACGAATATTGACCTCTTGTCTTTAAAAATGCATTTTTCGAACTTCTCAAGAGTTTTGAATTCAACTTATTTACGTCATTAATTACGTTGTTACATTTTACATAAAAATATCTTTGGCTAACATGTTTAACCATATTAATATTCTAAAATATTATGAACGTAAACTCATTTTACCAATTTTGATATTATTTGTAATAATAGATTGTATCTGTTTTTGTTTCTTTCTTTCTTCAGGCAATGGATTTGGCTTAGAAATTGTTGGTGGCAAAGAGCTTTCAAACAATAGTAATTTAACAGGAGCATATATTGCTAAAATCTACCCTGGAGTAATGGCTAGTATACTAAATGAAGTTGCTGTTGGTAAGTGCAGATGCAAAAACATAATTTAGGCACTGTAAGCTATCCTAGAGTTATGACGATTAATATATCAAATGAAGTTGCTGTTGGTAAGTATAGATGCAAAAACATAATTTAGGCACTGTAAGTCATCCTAAAGTTATGACGATTAGTATATCAAATGAAGTTGCTGTTGGTAAGTATAGATGCAAAAACATAATTTAGGCACTGTAAGTTATCCTAGAGTTATGATGATTAGTATATCAAATGAAGTTGCTGTTGGTAAGTATAAATATAAAAACATAATTTATGAAGAGTTGGTTATCCTATAGTAATGATCAATATATCAAATGAAGTTGCTGTTGGTAAGTATAGATGCAAAAACATAATTTAGGCACTGTAAGTTATCCTAGAGGTATGATGATTAGTATATCAAATAAAGTTGCTGTTGGTAAGTGTAGATGCAAAAATATAATTTATGAAGAGTTGGTTATCCTATAGTAATGATCAATATATCAAATGAAGTTGCTGTTGGTAAGTGTAGATGCAAAAACCTAATTTAAGCACAATAGGTTATCCTAGAGTTATGATGATTAGTATATCAAATGAAGCTGGTGTTGGTAAGTATAGATATAAAAACATAATTTATGAAGAGTTGGTTATCTTATAGTAATGATCAATATATCAAATAAAGTTGCTGTTGGCAAGATTAGATAAAAAACAACAAGTTACTTAGTGTTGGTTGTCCTAGAGCAATGACTAATATATCCAACTTTGATAAAAGAGTTAGCACAAAGAATCACATATAAAGTGTAATAGACTTAGAATAAGACCCAAAACTCGATCGCTTTCGAATAGTTGACTATTCTTCTTCAGATTACTTTCTGTTTGAAGTAAAGCAACTTACTGGATAGCACTGTTAAATACTGTAACGCCGAATGGCATCAATCTCGAACCTGGGATTGTTGCTCTTCGAGCGTCTATAAAAAAATTCCGAACAACTTGTAATTAAGTTTGTAAAGTTTTATTATTATTATTATTCACATTTTTATTCATGCTTCTATTTCTCTACATTATTATTTTAGGTATCGATTTACATTATTATCTTCTCTAGCTCTCATCTTCCTAAGTATTTTATTTTTCTCTATCAGTCAAAAGTTTCGTACATAATGAAAATTAATGATATTTTTTTTTCTCTCTGCAAACGAATTCTCCCATCCTGGAGACTTGAGTTGGGATTGGCTGGTCACCAAATTCAACTCAACTGGGACTTCCGGTTTACTTGATGTCATACGTCTTACTATATATTGCTTTGCGCAGGCTAAAGGTCTTTAGCCTTTGTTCTCCTGAAGAAGGATAGTCAACTATTCGAAAGTGCTCGAGTTTTGGGTCTTATTTTAAGTCTAATATATTCAACGATGTTACTATTGTTATGAGTGATTAAAAATAACATTTAGGTAGTGTTGGTTATCTTAGAGTGATGATGAGTAATATATCAAATGAAACTGCTGTTGGCAAGTGTAGTTACCAAAACAAAAGTTACTTTAAAGTGTTTATCACATTGTTAACCTCCATGTAATCAGAATTTCACAATGAACTAGAGCACCACCGCGTCGGTCCGTGAAAACGAACAATCAAATAAATATTGACAGAATATTCATATCAAAATCGTAATGGTTTTTCGTTATATTAGCATTTTAGTGGTCCGCGACAACTTAGGGAGGCAGTGAGCCAGTCCCTCGTATGGAAAAAAAATGATAAACGCTGAACAAGAAAAAACAAGTATTTCAACAGGACAAGAATGCGGGTAGAATATGAGTTCTGGTGAGATGAAAGTACGAGATGAAAGGTATAAAATAAAACACAAAGTATTTTTTAATATATGCAATGAAAACGAGAGAAATAACACAAAAGAACATCTCAGGTATTAGCTGGCGTAAATAAACTGGATGGACATTTTTTTTCTCACAACTTAATTATTTGAAAAATAGACAAAAAATATTCAGCACGTGACAAAGATCCAATCAGAAACATTTCAGGTTTATTTCGTGGCCAATTAGCAACAGTGACACAACCTAAATATGTTATTTTCCTGTCTAAGCCTTCAAGGTGGTGAAAATCGCTTGCAGTTATTTCTAGGTGACTTTAAGATATCTCTACTTGATGTAAGGCCTTCACAGGAATATGCTACATAAACATGTTGTTATGACCCGTACTGAAGCTTAAAAAGATTTCAAAATGTCAGATATTACTACAAGTTATGAGAAGAGGAGGTAATTTACTAGAATCTTAAAGTCTTGATTATGCTGGACTCAGTGACTAGTGGCGCGTGAGAAATACATATGTCGTAATTATATATATATATACTTTTCTCCAGAAGTGTTTGAAAATAATTTGTGGTTAAGAGTTTGAGTCGTTCTTGCTTGTTATTAAGCACAAGCAACACAAAGGGCTACCTGTGCACTGCCGTCCACGGGTATCGAAATCCAGGCATACCGCTGTGCCACTGAGGTGGGAGTTTGGGGTCCGAGTCATCAACCCGATTTATTACGAGAATTTATAGCTTTAAAACCACAAAGTCAACAATCAAACCGAGAATAATTTGATTAAACAATGTATTAGCATGCTTTTCTGAAACACTGAGAGGTGTTCACTTAAAATATGTTCATCTGTGCAGACAGTTTCACGATAAGACCCGTATACAGATTGCGGCTCACCCTAACATCTCGCTACGATTATTCACAGTTCACCCAAGATAATCACAAATATTTGTGAACATTTGTGAAAACGAAATTCAAAGGCGAGAGCTTTGTAAGTTTACTTACTAGCTCCCAGTAATTGTGTAACATTAAGGTAGTAATGTGAGCTCCTTGGCATACTAGTTCTGCAGGCAGGTTGTATTTGTTGTTACACATTAATGTTAACGTACACTGTATATTGCACTTTAATAGTTCCTTTTTTTACCCATTTTGTGTTTTAGTTGCACGTGGAAGCTTCCATTTAAAGTCCTTTCTCTGCTTGCTTGTTTGTTTTTTAGAGCAAAGCCAATTGGGCTATCTGCTGTGTTGAACCCCGTATTTTAGCGTTGTAAGCCCGTAGTCTTACCGCTGTTTCACACCGGGGGACCCATTTGAAGCTTCTATTTTGAAGAGTTTTTCAAATTGAAAGTTAAATGAGTGACGTTAATGTTTAACAAAAGATCATTTTAAAACCTAATTATAGGTTCTTAGTCTTAAAGTTCATCTACATTTAACAGCAGCAGTAACGTACACTATTTTTAATAAATAAAATCCTGAATAAATTATAATTCTCAATTTCTTTGTAGAATGCATTACCCTATATCGACACGGAAGGTTTTCTTCTTCATGGTCAAAATATATGATTTTTATTTCCTTAAATCGTAAACATGTGGATTAAAGGTAAGCTTTGTTGCAGGATATAGATTTCCTACCTTATCAACACGGGTTTTAATTACAGAATCATTTAGGTAAATATATATTGAGTCTTGGTTTTGTGTGTGTTTTTAACTATATTAGACGAACCAGTAACTTACGTTTTCTGAGAAGCAGTTGAAGTTTTATCTATCAAATACACACCAGTTGATGAAACGAATTAATCAAGCTTGATCTTACGTTTGATTTGAGTCCAATAATCTTTCAAGTACAATAACTTAGATTTAACTAAATGCGCAAGGAATAATTTTTCGTTGTAAACCATTCTTTACTTTAAATTTTACTTAAAAAATGAGTTTGCGATAATTATATCATTTTATCAAACGACTTGAATAATATTAGCAAAGCAACAAAAGGATTGAAAATGTAAGAACATTTAGATTAATATTAGCAACTCTTCGATGAAAGTCTTCTTGAACTTTCAAAAATGTGTATAGATTGTGATTTCAAAGTAATAACTATTTTCTTGACATTCATACAGGTGATCAGGTTATAGAGTGGAATGGAATAAATTTAAACGGAAAAACGTATGAAGAGGTAAAAAGAATTGTTGCATCTTCTGGAGATGAAGTAGAAATGATTATTAGAAGGTAATAATCAACTCAGTAATAAGTATTCAATTACTGTTTTTCGTCATTTTACTAAGTTGTTGCTGTTTTTCATTCAATTACTGTTTTTCACCATGTTGCTAAGTTGTTGCTGTTTTCATTCAATTACTATTTTTCGCCATGTTGCTAATTTATTGCTGTTTTCATTCAATTACTATTTTTCGCCATGTTGCTAAGTTGTTGCTCTTTTCATTCAATTACTATTTTTCGCCATGTTGCTAATTTGTTGCTGTTTTCATTCAGTTACTATTTTTCGCCAAGTTGCTAAGTTGTTGCTGTTTTCATTCAATTACTATTTTTCACCACGTTGCTAAGTTGTTGATGTTTTCATTGAATTACTATTTTTCGTTATGTTATTAAGTTGTTGCTGTTTTCAAAGAATTTGTTTCATCTGTCTTCAGATTGTTACTACTCTTCAGTTAAATTGCTTCTCTTCTTTCAACTTCATACTGTTTTCACGCAACTTGTTACTATTTTTCTTACTGTGTTACTGTTTTCATTTAACTTTTTATTATTATTCTTATTTGAACTGTTTCTTATTTTCCTTTATCTCGACCCTGTTTTCCCATAATTGTTAATAATATCTAAATTTGTTACTACTGTTCTTCAGATTGTTACTTTTTACCTTTAGCTTGTTACAATTTTGTTTTCCGCTTTCTGCTGCTGGGTTTCTTCTACCTTTACCTATTTCTCCCATTCTTGACATTGTCCCATTCTTTTATAGTGACTCTGTTTTCCCTCTAACTTGTCACTCTTCTTTTTCAGGTTCTTACTGCTTTTCTCCAACGTGTTACTTTTTGTTTATCTTGAAACTGTTTGAATTTACTATTTTTCTCTTGTTAATTTTTCTAACAACGTGCTACTATTTTACTTTTACTCATTATTATTTCTTTTCTGCAATGTTTTACTACTTTTCTTCACGTTCTTATCGTTAATTTCTTTAGACTTTTCGCTGATTTTATTCAACTTATTATTGATCCTTTCAATTTGTTACTTGTTTTTATTTTTCAAAATACAACTTTTTTATCTTGTTACTGTTATTATTTTGCTTCTTGCTGCTTTTCTTCAAAATATTTACTGTTTTCCTCTGCTTTTACACTGTTCTCATATAAATTGTTACTTTTTATTCAGTTTACTGTTGTTTTTCTTCAATTTGTTGCTATTTTTCAGTTTTCAACTCCTATTCTTCAACGTGAAACAATTTTCTTAAACTTGGTACCCCTGTTTTCTTCATTTTTATATCCACTTCTTACTATTCCCTTCGGTTTGTGAATTGTTTCTTCAACTTTTGCTATTTTATTTTAGTTTTTATTACAGCTTTTCACCTTTCTACAGTTTTATTTAAATTTGTTTCTATTTTGTTTTTTAATGCTTTCCCAGTGGCACAGCGGTATTTCTGCGGAGTTACAACTCTAAAAATCGGGTTTCGATACCCGTGGTGGGCAGAGCGTGTGAAGCTTTTTGCTTAACTACAAATTAACAAATTTTCTTCAATATTTATATTCTTCTTTCAGTGTGTTACTGTTTTACCTAAACATTTTACCATTTCCTCTAATTTGACACAGTTTATTAGAATTTTCTATAAGTAAATGCAGTGTTGCTTTGACTTGTTACTGTTCTTCTAGAGCTTGCTAGTATTTCCCTTCATATTTTCTGTTTTAATTGAATTTGTTACTATTTCCCATCTACTTATCACAGCTTTTATTCAACCACTTTTCAGTGTTTTAGTGTTGCTCTTCAACTTCTTACTATTTCCCTTCGAAATGCTACAATTTCCTTCAACTTGCTACTGTTTGTTTTCAGTGTTTTAGGGTTACTCTTCAACTTCTTACTATTTCCTTTCAAAATGCTACAATTTCCTTCAACTTGCTACTGTTTGTTTACAGTGTTTTAGGGTTGTTCTTCAACTTCTTACTATTTCCCTTCAAAATGCTACAATTTCCTTCAACTTGCTGCTGTTTCTTTTCAGATTGTTAATGTTTACTTATAGCTTATTTCTGCTTTTCTTCAAGTTGTTACTATCTTTCTTCGGTTTTTTGCACAGTTTGGCAATTTCTTAAAAGTTGTTACTATTTTTAGACTCGTTATTATTATTTGTAGATTTGCTACACTGTCATTTCAGTTTTTTCGTCATTTTACTGTATTCCACCAACTTATTATTTTACTTTCTTCAATGTTTTGCTATTTTCTTTAGATTTATTACTGTTTTATTTCAATCGTAACTGGTTTTCTCCTTCTTGATATTGTTTTCCTTATATTTTTTTACTTCTTTTATTCTAATTCTGTCTTACTTGTTGCTATTTTTGCAGATTGTTACTCCATTTTTTCATCATCTTAATATGTTCTTGTATCTTAATACAGTTTACTTTGAAATAGTTACGTTTTTCTTTCAGCTAGTTACTCTTTTCTTTCAAATAGTGTTGGTTTTACTTCAAATTGCTGAAACAAAATCGCGAATGGGACATCTTTACTGAGAAATATCTATATAAATTTACATTCGCTATGTTTTCATTTAATTTTTCTACAACTTGTTATTACTTCTTCCAGGTTTTAATGCTTTTTTCTGTTTTTTATTTCCCTCTATTTTGTCATTATTTTTCTTCAACTTACTACTATTGCTATTTTCTACTATGTTGGAGTAGCTGGTTTCTGAAAGTTTTCATTCTTTTTTGTCTGAATTCTGATATTTTTTAACTGATTAGTTAGGTAAATATACTGTTAGTCAACTTTATTTAATAGACTTGTAAGTGTTTTCTGAGTGATTATATATATATATATATAGAGATATATATATATATATATATATTACATTAAGTCCATAAATCACATCCTCGAACAATTTCGTTGATTAGAAATTTTGTTGGTCTAACCATGGATACTACTTACATTAGCCAGCGAACTAAAATAAAAGTTATCTCAAGGTTAGTTATGATCATTTATCACAAAATAGTTGCAATGAAGACTTTAAAACCTGCTAAACTAGTCTAAATATCAAATTAACATTTGGATATTCATAAAATGAAAACAAACTGAATGTCAGTTACTTGACATACATTCACTATTAACTTTGCTGAAACATTATATTTTCCATACGTCACTCCCAGCCAATGCCCACTGAGCTTTGTTTATAAACTTTATATGTATTGCAGCAAGTATAGTGAGCTAGAAAATTAATGAAACGCTTTTAATTATGAACGTTCAAGCCTTATTTAAAAAGGCTTCATATTCCTTTCCTTTCCTTGACTTTAGAAACTTGTTCTTGGCGTGAGATAGCCGCTGGATGATGTCTTAACTTTTAGTTTGCTCCGATATCAATAAAGCGATCTAATAATTTCATAAAACTAAAAAAAAAAAAAAACTTTTTGTTACAGATATATCGGAATATACATTTATGTTGTCCTAGTTTTGCGTAAGCTTGATAGAAGAAGTTTCATAATACAGAAACAATATTTTGAACTTCTGGTGTTAGAATACTATACACCCCATTTGATATAATAGAATGCCCTTAGTTTTCTCTCTCTATATATATAGATATACATATATAGTAACTTATGTGAGTTTGTATAATATAGCATGGTATCTCGGGCAACTAATTAAAATGTGCCCAATTGACGTTTTCCCTCACAGTGATTTAAATGTCCTCAAACAGCAGGAAGTGAGTCACGTGCAGCGACACTCATCCAGTGATGGACTTGGACGATACGATGATCCTTGTACAGGTCACAACCCACGTGACTATGGCAGTACAGGACAGGATTATGGAAGGCTCTCCCTAGAACAGGACTATTTCAGAGGGAACAACGGTTCACGAAGTGGCTGGAAACACAATAACGCCGAAAACCCAACCTCATCCCATCTCCCCAACCCACAAATCAATGGGTTTGATCGCTTAACTTCTTCTGGTACGAGATACCCTTGTTAGATTTAATGGGATTTAGAGGGACCTTCATATGCCAAGGTGGATTTCATGTGGTATAAAAACTTATTTAAAAATGACAAACAACAGATGCTATTCTTCCATTTGAGCACGTGCAATTTTTTTACTTTAGCGATAGTGATGATAGGCTGTACTGTAAACTTTTGATTTGATAAGTTTTATTGATGCATAGTATTCATTGGTAAGGTAAACGTGAGCATACATCATCTTATAACATTCATACTCGTACAAGAATATAAAGTATTTTTGTTTTATTTAGATTTTTTTAAAGTAAATTTCTTTAATACGTAGATAACAGATAGGCAAAATTTTCTACATTAATGTATTGGCATAATAAACCGATAAACGTGTTATGTAGAAAATAAATTTGTTTAGAAAGTTTGAACAATCACTAATGGAAAGAGAAGGACTGGCCTTAGCAAATCCACAATCCACATGTAACGCTGTAAAACTGAGCCTCAAAATGTTAGATTTTCCTGAATTTTTGCGATTGAATTAAGTTAAAGATTGAAAAAAATAACAATAAGACAATTATGACGAATTGGTTAGTATTGTAAATGATGCAAGGAAGAATCTAGTGACACCTTGAAATGATAGGTCATTAGATATGTGGAGATACAGAGGGACACTTATCCGTATAAGGATTCTTAATATATGGGATACTGGAAACCGTGGGGAAATGCAAATGTGTTTATAGGGTAATAAGGTTATGGAGAGGAATCCAAACTCCCCAAAAGAAGAGTTAAAATCATGAGAATAAAATGATAGCAACATTGGGTTTCAGGTAAATTATGAAAACATTAAAATGGATGTAAAACAGAATGATAGTGCGATAAAAATGGAATTTGTAGAGGAAATAGAGGAGTGGAAACTTAATAGTAGAAAGCTAAGAGCAAAGTGAAAATAAAAATTCAAATCAGTGAAAGGAATCGAACATTTGAGAGGTTAGAGGTACGTTTACGAAAGGAAATGAAATATATGAAGAATAGAAATGAGATCATCAAAAGCATTGGGCATTTGGATCATGAATAACATAAAATATTATATTATGAAATGAAAGGGATGAATACTTTTAATCGAGTTGACGCCGCCACTTAAAAGCCAATATAAATATAACTCAAATGGTTATATTGATATAAGGTATTAAATAAAAACAGTATTTACTCAAGATTAAACTTCCCAGACATAAACAGATTGGACAGTGTAATATGCATAGCAATTAACATCAGTAATGAGTAATATTAAAAGATATAAGTTATAAGATAGATAGACAGTGGACTAACCATGGTAGAGAAAAGAAATATATATATATATACTGAGAGAGACTTTGACCATAGATAAAGTGGTAAATAGAACACGAATCACTGAAGTTAAATTAACCCGTTGAATTAAAGATGACAACTAAAATAGGTACACCGTACTCAATGTTTTTGGTGCTCCAAGTGACAAAAACGTCTGCACTAACTTCAAACTAACGTTTTAGTTCTTTGAATTAAGTGATTCGAAAATGTTAAATATCGGCCTGATAACATTAGTTCTAATTAGGCCTTCTGGTAGAAGTTTTCACCTAATCAGAGAGAAAGTTTTTATTGAAATTATTCACTTGATGTAAAAAAGATGTTACTACTTTGTTTTGGAGAAAAAAAATCCTAAATAATTATGCTTTCTTCCTTTCAGTAATTGAACCTAACGCAGAAAATCAAGTGGACTTTGCTGACGTCGACACTGAAGATATTCCATTGCTTACACATCACCAATCAGAAGCGACCAATCAAAGTTGTCATTCAGTGTTACCTCTTTCTACATCATCCTACCAGGGGCCTCCCGCTGCTGTTCCTGTCTCACGAGCCTTCAATCAGAACTGTTCGAAAATGAGTCCAACAGATGATGAACAGGTGACTTAACGAAAAATAGTTTGTTTCATTTTTGTTTAAATTCTTTCGAATATAATGCAACATATCCATTATATGAAACCCTGATAGGCAAAGGTAACAGTGAAATTTCACAAATTACTATTGAATTTTTCTAATGTATCATCAAACTATCTACCAAATGATTCTGCTCTCCGAACTCTGGCATATTTTAAATTAAGAAAACTAATTAAGTTACAACAGGAAAAACTGAAAACAGATAAATTCTGTGAAAATATTGTTTCACCAAACTTTAGGAATGAAGATAAGCAGTCGTAACATGTATAGTGGATCAAAATCTAAGTTTTCATTGCTTAGGAAGTTTTACTCTTTTTTTTAATATGTAAATAACAGTTCATGTTAATCCATCATTTCTTTTGTTACAGTACAAGCTCCAAGCACAACATATAACCGGAGAAATCAAGGTGTGTGTAGTATTTTACTTTGATCTTTGAACTCTTATGCCTTTTTGTGCTCCCATACGACTTTTCTATTACGTAAGTTCGATATTCTATAAAGGCATTTAAATCATGGAGGTCTGTTCTCTGATAATAAGACTAAAAACTGTGAGGGAGTGTTCTCATAAAACATTTTTGGTCGGGATGATGCCAATGTTATTGATGTTTTGGTGATTTAATAAATTATCTCTTTCTTATAAATATTTATACCAAAACCACCAATCTATGGCTTATAATTTCGGTTTAATGTAAAGGTTGTTGTATTGTGTCTTCTATGCTTGGATTAAACATATCTATACAGTGCTTTATTATTATTCTCTTGTAATATAAAAGAGGTATTTTACTTGTTTATTACCATAGATTCAAGTATGTTTTGACTCAAAGGCAGCGATACTCTACGTGACTGTTGTTAAAGCACGAAATCTTGGAACATCAAGGGACAATAGTGGATTTCCCGATCCTTTTGTCAAGTGTTATCTGTTGCCAGGTCGATGGTAAGTTAGTTGTATTGCTTGCATTGTTTGTAGTTACTTGAAAGAAACAAAATTCAAGAGTGCACATTTTATATATATATTTTTCTAATCCTATAGTAAACTACAGCACTATGAATTTCTCGTATGTTATTGAAATTTTATGGCATTTTGATCCCTCATAAAAACGGCGATTTGAATGAGTCCCCCCATCTGTTGTATTTATTTTGGTTGATATAACTAAGAGAAATGTGGGTGCTTATATTTGTATGTATCCATGATTTTTCGGAATTTCTAGTTTCTGCATTTTCTCTTTAAATTTACAAACGCCTCTTCTTGTGTTCACCAGTTGACTTGTTTCTTGGAGTTCTAAACCTCGTTACCGTTTTGTTCCCTCATCGTCTGATAAATCCTATCATATTTTTGAAAAGTATATAATTCTAAAATTTACAACTGTTATATTTCAGTATCGAGAACCAGAGACGAACAAGGTATTTTTCTCGGTGCAGTAATCCAGAGTGGAATCAAACAATGGTCTATCCTAACGTTACCATGGGCATGCTTCAGGAAAAGTTTCTGGAAATTAGCGTGTGGAACTATGATATACATAAACCTAGCGAATTTCTTGGAGAAATCATCCTGAACCTTGCAAGTAGGTTTCTAGGTATTAATTTAGTAGTACACTGTAGGCTCTAACGCTGTTTTTTGTGTGTATGTGTCTGTCTAATGATGTCTTGTAACGTGTTATAGGTTCTAACGATGTCTTGTAACGTGTCATAGGTTCTAACGATGTCTTGTAACGTGTTATAGGTTCTAACGATGTCTTGTAACGTGTCATAGGTTCTAACGATGTCTTGTAACGTGTTATAGGCTCGAATGATTTCTTGTATTGTAACAGGTTTAACCACTGTATTGTAGAATAACGTATTGGTATTAGACTGTTATATGATATAGTATAAGTCGTCAGTTGTTATGTTATATAAAACCGGGTTATATGCAATAGTTTATAATTATTTTCGATGAAACCTGCAAAAAATAGTTCATCTCAGCATTTATCTGGATATAATTCCAGATGAATGTATAATTGATGAACAGGCTCGCTGGTATAAGCTTCAAAAACATGACAAAAGTCGTTATCCACGTGACCCATCGGGGAAAACAAGAGGTAGCCATGAAGGTGACAGAGAAGACCACAAGATGGCGCGCCTGAATCATGCAAACGGGGATATTAAGTTTGTAAGTCAGTTCTTTAAGATTAATCTTAATTTCGTAAATTATACTTTATAAATATAATGTTATATTGCGTATAAGGATACACTGTTATAATTTCTTGATAACAAAGAAGCTATAGTTCAAAAAACATAGGTAGCCTGAATAAAAATTAGATTGTAAGCACAAATAAGTACTTAAAATGTTATCTATTAATATTATTATTTTCATATCTAGTAACAATTAAAACGGATGCAACACCCCACTATTACTCAAACGTACGTTTGAATTCTTAAGTATTTTCTTAAATTAATACACGTGTACATGTATATATATATATATACACAAATATACAAAGGATGAGGCTCGCTTAACTTATGCCTCTTATTGTATTGAAAATTTCAAAACAATTTGCGGAATACATTTATTAAAAAAGTTATGACACAAATGAAAATACTATAGCTTTTTAGTTAAAAATTACTTTAATGGCGCACGATATACGATGTCATATGACACATTCAGTTTATTATGGCCACTTGCTCTAAAATCTTATTATAGAACACAGTAAAAGTCCATTATTAATATAATGTATTAGATTATGATAATGAAAGCCTAGAGGTATTATCAGCCTTTATACAATTTAGGCGACTATAAGTCTATTTTTAACAGTAGGCATTAATCACGTTAGAATACTCTAGGTTTTTAGTAATATCAAGTATTATTGAATTAAGATAATTATAGTCTATTTCTAACATCAACCGTTAGTTAGTTTAGGATACTATAAATTCATTTTTGTTTTCAGGCAGTACTAGCTTATGAAACTATAAAGTTTTATAAATATCAGGCACTATTCAATTTAAGATACTGTAAGTCTTCAATATATTGTTACTATAAGGCATAAGTCAGTTTAAGATACTATGTGTCTGTAATATCAGGCATTATTCAATTTAAGATATTGTAAGTCTTCAATATATTGTTACTATAAGGCATAAGTCAGTTTAAGATACTATGTGTCTGTAATATCAGGCATTATTCAATTTAAGATATTGTAAGTCTTCAATATATTGTTACTATAAGGCATAAGTCAGTTTAAGATACTATGTGTCTAATATCAGGCATTATTCAATTTAAGATATTGTAAGTCTTCAGTATATTGTTACTATAAGGCATAAGTCAGTTTAAGATACTATGTGTCTGTAATATCAGGCATTATTCAGTTTAGGACTTTATACGTATTTTGTAGTATCAAGCATTTGGAGTGTATGATAGAGTAGGTTTTTGTTAGTATCGAGCATTATTTAATTTAAGATACTATAACGTTTTGTTAATATAAGGCATTAGTCAGTTTAAAATATCCTAAGTTGTTGTAATATCAGGTATTAGTCACTTTAAGGTACTGAAATTCTATTTTTGTTATCAGTTATTAGTCAGATTAGGTTACTATAAGTCAGTTTTTGTTATTAGGAAACTGTTAGTTTATTATACTTTATATCTTTTGTAATATCAATCTACAGTCCATTTAAGATACTGTAAGTTTTTATTAATATAAATTAGTCAGGGTAAAATACCCTAAAGTATTGTTAACATCTAAAATATCGTAAAACTGTTGCTAAAATGAAATATTAGTCAGTTTAGAATACGGTAAATCTAAAGTTAATATATGGCATTAAGTAATTTAAGTTATTCTAAATATTTTTCATGTCTATCGTTAGTATAAGTATTTATTCAACGAAGAATACTACAAGTGTATTCTCAGGCCTTAAACAGTAGAGGATACTATAAGGCTTTAAGATAATTTAAGATCATCAAGTTTATTCCTAATATCATAAAATAATCAGATGAAGATACTCTAAGTCCTTGTTAATATCAGAAATTAGTGAGTTTAATATAATGTTTAATAACAAGTAACAGTCAGGGTAATATACTGTTAATTTCTTGTTAATATCAGGCATTAGTTAGTTTTAGGATATTGTAAGTTTTCCTTAAGATCAAGAATGAGTCACTTTAGGATAATGCAGTTCTTTTTCGTTGATATCAGGGATTAGATAGTTTAAGATATTGTTTTTTTTTCATACAAACATTGTTTAGTTTAGAAAATTATAAGTTTATGTTAAAATTATACATTTGTAGCTTTAGGCTGCTGCAAACGTTTTTTAATATCGGGTATTAGTCAATTTTGAATACTATAAGACATATTGTTAACATCAGGCGTTACTCAGTTTATGATATTGAAAGTATTTTCTAACATGAGGTATTAATAAATGTTTTGTTTGTTTGTTCATTTGTTGTTAAGCACAAACCTACACAATGGGCTATCTGTGTTCTGCTCACCACAAATGTCGAAACCGGCATGATAAATCTATTTTTAATGTTAGACATTAGTCATTGTAAGATACTGTAAGTCTTTGTTGGTGGAAATAATATACCGTTTAAGATACTGCAATTTCATTGTCAATATATCATGATATGAGTTTATGATATTATATGTTTTTTAGCAATATCATTATCATCGTAGATAAATTACGACGCTGAAAAAACTATTAGTAATATCAAGAATTATTTTATTGATGATAATATAATATTTTCTTAGTATCAAACAATGCTCAATTTAGTGATAATATCTTAATTTGCCCTTTATTATTAATGTAAGTTTATCATAAATATTAAGCACACGTGAATTTTAGAAATTGTAAGGATTTCTTAATATCAACATTTGTCAGTTTAGGATAGTATATTTTTTGTTAGTATCAGGAATTTGTCAATTTAAGATATTGAAAGAATATTACTAGTATTATACATTAATAAGAATTTTATGAATGTTCATGGACTAGTCTGTTTAAGGTATTAGAATTCACTGTTCAACCAAGCTTTAGTTAGTATACAGTTTAAAATATTAAGTCTATTGTTACTAAGTTTAAGTTATTATAGTTCTATGGCTACTATGAGTAACTAATTAGCTTTGTGTAGTGTATGTCTATTGTTAATATCAGGTATTAATCAGTTTAAGATATTGTAAATCTATTGTTAATATAAGGCATTAGATTGTTAATATGAGACATCAGTCAGTTTAGGTTACTGTAAGTACATTGCTAATATGAAGCATTATTCAGTTTAGCATACTGAAAGTATACTGTTAATATTGTATATTGGTAAGTTTAGAGTACTGTAAGTCTATTGTAAAAATAAGGCATTAGTGAGTTAAGGAAACCATTAATCTGTTGTTAATGTTAGGTGTTAGTTACTGTTTTTATTAACATTAAGTATAGATCTGTTAAAATTGTTTTTATATTTTAAGACATCATATACAGTCTTCATCAGTTCATTCACAAACCCAAAACTTCCTAAACAAATACAAATCATATCACACAGAGAAACCAAATTGATGGTTGTTTAACTAAATATATATAAGATCCCGGTCAGCGAGAAACCTACCCTTGGAGCTGGCGTGCGCCCTTTTTAAAAAGGTATAGAAAATAAACAGGGAAGTGCGCAATAATTGCTGAATGGTCTAAAAAGGCGAGAGCGACTGGTCACGGAGAAATAGGTGAAAACGATCGGCTACCTCCCGGCTTCTCAGAAAATCAAAGGAAAGATTCGGAATGTTTTGATTTTAGCAAATATTAGAGTTGTTTTATTTCCAATGATGTTATTAATCAATTTCAATGCATAATTAGTGAGAATAAACATGTTTCTAGTTTTCTTATAATACGTCTTCAATCTCAATGTCTAAATCTTGTAACGAAACTCATTTCAGCACACATTTCCACTCTGTTCTTCCTCTTGCTTTCGGTTCTCTGCTTCTTCATGATTTCTCCACTGAAGCAAAACACCTTTCTTCTGTAGTAAATCTTGAAGTGATTTTCGATCAAGGGACTTTGCAAGCATACTTTGAGCAACCGTGGAAAACATTGTATTAGCCAAAAGACCAATAACATTTTTCTCCAGCTTATTCCTATCATCCATTCGTTTTGGATCTTCAAGCAATCCCTGCAACATTTCTGGACCAGATATACACATTAACATTAGAACTCCATTAAGCACAAGACGACACACTTGTAAAGCTCTCAATCGTGTTTTCCCAGGCTCAACTAGTTTTTCTTCTTTGATAACATTCTTTGGAAAATCACTGAGTGAGGTCTACTCAATGTTCAAGATCGCAAAAAAAAATTTCTTCAATTTGTCAAGATTGGTCAATGCACTACCGGAAGAACCTATTCCATCATTAGATGAACGATTTATCATCTCAGATGCCATCTAATCCATCAAGGAACCTATCTTGATTAGCTCCCCTGAGCGCCGATCGTCTGGTCATCTTTCTATTTTTAACTGGTTTTTGGATCTTTTGCACTACTCTATGATATACAGCAAAACATTGCCACGTTATCCTCCAAAGTAGAATATATAGCTGAAGGATCACAATGTAAACACATTTCACAGCTTTGCAGCTTTCTCTCTTTTTGTATTTATGCTCTTCACATGGTCTTCTCGTAACTTCGGTCATACTTGCGCCGCTCAAAAATTGAAAACTGATTTTGAACAGCTGAATTCTTTAGTTACGGCAGTGTTATCCGGCTTATATGGAATTTTTCCACGCAAAAAATGATTCTGAAATTTTAATTTTTTTCCAGCGAAAAAACTATAATTTTGGTTGGGTTTCTGACTGATCGGGATCAAAATAAACTACCATTCTTATGTATATATATATATATCATACAATATATTAGTAATTTTTGCCTGCCATTTCCTTATTTGTTCTAAACTTGCCATAGTTATTTCGTTTTATTTCAAACAGTTTTAATAGTTAATTATTACAGTTGATATTTTTACTGTTTTTACGTTTCAGTTGAATTGATATGTTTCACTTCGCTGTTTATATATTTATATATTTTTCGTGAAGCATCCAGACGGAAGAGTTTTAATTAACTCTAACTACTGATAATTACTTAGTCTTTTCTTCAGTTTAATCAATACATATATTTTTCATTTAAAAACCTTATAAATAATGCATTTGGTAATATTATCTGTCGTGTAAACTTGTGAACAATCATTTACTAATAACAATTTGTTGCTATTATATTGAGTGTCATATAGTTACACTTTATTTGAAATGAAATATTTCTGAAAGGATAAAAAGAGACTTAAACACATATTTAAGTTATTCACTGCTTCGTGACATTGTTAGATGAGTTGTCTTGGTAACATTTGTATTATTATAAAGATAATATAACGAAGTAAAATGGAATTGAGAAGTTTTACCAAAAAATGCTGTATTTTGTCACTAATTTTTATATTAACGGAAGTATGCTTAATTTAATTTTTTTTATCCTTAAAAGTAAACATATAAGCAGCTTATTGAATCCCAACTATCCACTACTCTCGTCAATTTTACAGCATTTCGAGCATGAAAAAAAGTTCAACAAACATTATCATCGGAAATCAGATCGTACAAAGGGTATGAAAAAATCTAAACTTATCTGTATGTGATGTGGATTGGCTTGCACAATGTAATCGGACGATGTTGCTTGGTCCAATCTTCTATGTTTGTAATGCTCAAGTCATCAATACATGAGTGCGCATGCTCACTTGTGGGGTGTTCCTTACATCAGCATTACCTGACTGCGCATGCTTTCTTCCGGGTTGTTACTTACGCCAGCATTACATGACTGCACATGCTCACTTCTGGTTTGTTCCTTACATCAATATTACACGAATGTGAATGCTTACCTCTCTATTGTTCTTTATTATTTGTCTCTAAAAGTATCATCAGTCAATATAATATCATGTCAAAGAAAAGAAAGATAAAAACTTCAAATTTAATGGTTGCAGATATTAGAGTTATTTCGGCATTAATTAATTTTTTGTAACATTATGCCAATTAGCTCACCATGATTTACTTCAAAAAATGATCAAATCTTAATACCATGAAATATTAAAAATATGAACGATTCAAATAAATTATATTACTTTCGAACTTACTTTCATAGATGTGGTGACCAACATCATTAACAACTTGAAAGGTACAATAATGTAAAATATTTCATGTTTAGAATATTGGATTCAAGGGGTATACAAATGATATTTTTGACTATATTGCATAGTAAATAAATATGTATTGAAGTTTATTTATCATCTAGGCACAAAACAAAAGCACAAATAAAAGTACATACTGAGAGTGTCCTTTTTTGTTTGCCTTTTTAAATGAAAAATGTTTTGCACATGTTTGATATATGCACAATAGGTCTGTGGTGTTGTTTTCGTTGTATTTGCATCTTTGTCAGCAGTAAGTTTTTGTTTAGTATTGGTTTCAAAATGTTAAAAAATAATGTTCTGTCCGTCTTGCATATTTGAATTTCAAGCTTATTTTGGGTGATTGTTTAATAATAGTATTCTTAAATTTCCTTATTATTATTAATGTGTTTCACACGTTGTTGTCTAATGATGTTGGATAAGCACGTTCAGTTTAGCCTGGTTGTTGTTAACAGTTATATAAGCTTATATTTCCATTTCGTCCTCGTCTCTAAAGCTCCATATTATAAAAGTACGGAGAAGTTCTTGGCTGTCATAGCTGAGCGAATGTATGTACACACGTTTTACACAACAAGTAGTACTGTAGCAGACCTTATTTATCCTATCACTAGACGTTTCTTTAAGCACGTTTTAAAAAACAAGTAACACTGTAGCAGACTTTATTTATTCTTTTACTAGACGTTTCTGTAAACACGTTTTACACAACAATAATACTGAAGCAAACCTTATTTGTCCTATTAGTAAACGGTTCTGTAAACACGTTTTACACTAAAAGTTGTACTGTAGCAGACGGTGTTGATCCTATTACTAGACGTTTATTTAAGCACGTTTTAAAAAACAAGTAACACTGTAGCAGACGTTATATATCTATTACTGAACATTTCAGTAAGTACGTTTTACACAATCAGTAACACTGAAGCAGACCTTATTTGTCCTATTACTAAACGTTTCTGTAAGCACGTTTTACACAAAACGTTGTACTGTAGCAGACCTTATTTATCCTACTACTAGACATTTCTGTAAGCACATTTTACACAATAAGTAAAGCTGTAGCAGACCTTATTTTTCTTATTACTAGACATTTATTTAAGCACGTTTTACACAAGAAATTGTACTGCAGCATACCTTATTTATCCTATTAGTAAACGTTTCTGTAAGCACGTTTTACACAACGAGTTACACTGTAGCAGACATTTGTCCTATTACCCGACGTTTCTGTTAGTACGTTTTACACAAAAAATTGTACTGTAGCATATCTTATTTATCCTATTAGTAAACGTTTCTGTAACTACGTTTAACACAACAAGTAGTACTGTAGCAGACCTTATTTATCCTATTACTAGACGTTTCTTAAGCACGTTTTACACAACCAGTAACACTGTAGCAGACCTTATTTATTTTATTATTAAACGTTTCTGTAATCGCGTTTTACACAATCAGCAACAATGTAACAGACCCTATCTGTCCTATTACTGAACGTTTCTGTAATCACATTTTATACAACAAGTAGTACTGTAGCAGACCTTATTTGTCCTATTACTAGACGTTTCTGGAAGCACGTCTTACACAACAAATAGTACTGTAACATCCCTTATTTATCCTATTACTAAACGTTTCTATAAGCAAATTTTATGCAACCAGTAGTACTGTAACAGCCCTTATTTACCCTATTACTAAACGTTTCTGTAAGCAAATTTTATGCAACCAGTAACACTGTAAAAAACCTTATTTATCCTATTACCAGAACCAAATATATTCAGAATGTATTAAGAGCGTAATAGTCAAAAACATTGTAAAGAAACAATGATTATGTGGTCAACGTTTTAGTCAAACGACCTTCATCAGGTCCCAGAATAAGTTCGTTTGCTCAATGTTTTGGTCATATAATTATTTTACGCTAACAGTGGTTTTAACCTTTTTCTGTTAGCCTTATTTACACTAAAGCTATACGTGTTGTTATAATATTTTCTACGGTTTCATTATTAACATATCCTCTACTTTCCACCTTCCCTTCTTTCCTTCAGTTTGCGAGAGTACCTCCATCGCATCAGAACGCAGAAAACATACTCATGATCTCTTCAAGTTTTTTCATCTTTAAAAAAAGTTGAAAATTTCAAATTCTATGGGTTTCAGTGAATGGAATAAGTAGCTGTTACATCTTTACAAAGATCGACTTATTTTATATTATATTGTGCACATTTAACTGTTGAATCATTACTTTTTCGAAGTGAACTGAACCAACTCTAAATATATACATTCTGAGAGAGAAAGCGCAGATGTTTCCAGTCACTAAACATTTAGAGGTGTTAAAAAAACCTTAGTTGCTCCTCAGAAGATCTAACTAAATAGTAAAAAAGATTACATAATGAAGATTTCGTTACGAATTCGATTCTTATCACATGAAGATAAATAAGAAAGGTAAGAACACTATAGTATAAAACGGGCGTTCTCGTGGGTAAGGAATGTACGAAGCGTTACTCTACCTTGAACGTCATTGATATATAATTCATGTATATATATTTATGTGTGTGTGCGTGTGTTTTTTATATATTTATTCCAAATATTTTTGTTCTTTTATTTCATCAATATGTGAGTTTTGAGAGTCATTTCGTACATATTAATCAACTAGTCTTTCCTTGCCTAGCCAGTGAGTGGCCAGAACCATAGGGTCTCTATCTTCCCAACAAGCAACCTCACAGCTCATCCATTGATACCTCAAGGGTGCCACGGTGCAGGGTGCAACATATTCTAACTAGCTATAACGGACACCACAAACGGGAGTTTGGTAGGTGATATATCATTTAAAGACAATAAATACCTGGATTTAATGGTGTAAAAACCTTGAACAATTTTATGTGGAAACAAGCGCCATTCTCTTGAAAATACAGGTAATGCACAATATTAAATAGTAGAGAAGGTCAATATTCTGGTTGAGTGTAAACGAAGGGAACTATATTGGTAAAGAAGATGCTTCCTGACTGACTGTAAACCTATATGAACTTCAGTAGTAAAGAGTACGAAGCACACTCTTTAATATTCAATTCTGAACATAACTTGTGAATTCACAAAATTTCTGTGGCTCTCAACATTCTTTCGTTCGAAGCGTTTCCCAAAATACTGAAATCTTGGACAGTAGGAAGAAAGTCAGAGTTTTGTAAACCATGTTTAACAATAGCTCACTGATTATATGGAGTATTTTTCACGTGCTCTTTATAGATGATGTAACAGTACTGTGTTTTAGTAACACTGTTTTAAAGTAATGTCGTCTTGAGACAATTCGAAGCTGAATTTGAGGATAAGTCTTACAACTAAGACAGTTTTACTACTTTCCTTAATCCTAAGACATGTTTCTGTGAATACGGCAAATACAATAATATTATCAATCAACAATAATTAAATGTACATTTTAATACATCTAATTTATCAAAATAGTTCTTTTGCTAGGTTTCATGAAGAGGTTTTAAATATAAAGAAATAATTTGTCTCTAAATTTGATTGATAACAATGTTAAGAACTATTTAGAGGCTTTATATACCTTGAAGATTAACAACTGTTCTACAACTAAATGGATAGTTTATTTTATATGTCGTATATAGAGAAAAATGCTTTAAAATTAAAGAAAAGGATTACATATGCCTTGAATTGTTAGATCTAGCTTCAGATATAATTTTCAATTGTTTTCAGGCCGATAATTTACTTAAGTAATTACTTTAAATTAAAGACAGTGTTCAGCAAACGCAGTGCTTGTACCTCATCTCTAATCATACATGTCCGAGGTGTAGTCATGGCTATGTGTTCTATACAATTCCTTGTTTGAGCTCAAAAATTAAAGAGCATGCGCAAAATGCAATATATAATCAGGGAGCTTTAATTTTCAACATAGTGTACAAGGTTATGGCTGTTGAGAGCCAAAGTCCATATAAACTTATATAAAATAATCTAATCCTACCATAATCGTCATTCTCTATACCCTCTCAGACCTCTTTTATTATCGAGGTTGACCACAAGCGTGATATTCATTTCTAGCTTTTAATTGTTTTTGGAGAATTGTCGACTGGACTAAGAGATGCCTGAGAGTTTTTGTCTTTGTATTTTATTTCAGCTTCTTCAACCAATATCTGTAACTTATATTGTTATAGCAGAATTATTTGTCAAAATAATATAAGGATCACCATGTTCTTTATGTTCAATATTTGAAACTGGAAAGTCACAATAACAGTGAGATCAATATCGTTATTTGAACTTATCTAAATCTTAGCGAAGATAGAAACAGAATTTGTCATTGCCAAAACTTTGGTCTAAAACTCTCACTAATTTAAACAAATATTTATTCGTGTTTCAAGTAAACACTATCACAGGGAATAATAAGTTCCAAGATCTCATGCAAACGAAATCACCAATCAAAATCCACTTACCAGTTTTGACAAAAAATAATTAAATAATTTTTAAACCTTTTTTTATAGGTACTGCCAATCAAGAGTGACAAACAGAAAGTATAAACGTTGGACCAAAGACTTGCTGCTGTTTATTCTGTGGTATTGTCGACGTTTTGCTTCTCAAGAACTACCTGTTCTAGGATTACTTTTTGAATGCACAAAGCTTTGGACTAAACTGATCCTACTTATTGTGCATGTCGATTGTGTTCGTAAAATATTGCCCCTCTCTAACCAATCCTTCATTGGCTACGTGCCTCAAAACGCTGTTTCAACGGCGTCCTTGACATCGAATTAGTCTAGTTTAGTTGGTTTATCAACATAAGTAAGATAATTCTGATATTAAATATGATCATAGTCTTATATTCCATGTTTCTTTCTAAGAACACAATCGTGTGAAATGCTAGAAAATTATATAGTCTGTATATACAATATGGATTCTCAAAGCTTATAATCTAACACTGTATGGAGATTCAATACCAGAAGTGTACGCCGAAATGTTTAAGTTTATAATCTAAAGAAACTGTATATAGTAGCTGGAGATTCAATATCAGACGAGTATACTGTAATTCATAAGCTTATAAATGGTCTAACACAAAATTCTAAGGATTAAGTATCAGAAGGATATACTATAATACCTAAGTTCATGACTTGTGTAACACAATTATATAGAAACTGCCTGAGGATTCAGTATTAAATATGTACACTGTAATCCTTAAGTTTATAAACTATCAAACATAATTGTTACAAACTTTCTGAGAGTTAAATATCAGATAGTTACACAGTAATTTCTAAGTTCTAAACTGTGTAACACAACTGTACACAAACTTTTAAGGACTTATTACTAGATGGGGACTATGTAATCTTTCAGATAGCTTGTAAGAAATGTATTTGGTAGTTTATAAAATTAAGGATTACAGTGTATCCATCTAATACTGAACCTCCAAAAGTTTGTAACAACTAGGTTTGGTAGTTTATGAACTTGGGGATTATAGCGTACCCGTCTAACACTGAACCAACAAGCAGTTCGGGTATAGTTGTGTTAGACAGTTTATGAATTTAGGGATGGTAATGTACCCATCTAATACTTCACACTCGAACACTTTGTATATAGTTGTGTTATAAAGTTTATGAGCTCAGAGATTAGAAAGTACTTATCTGATGTTTAACTCTCAGAAAAGTTGTAACAACTGTGCTTAGTAGTTTATAAACTCAAGGCTTATTATTCGATGGTTACACTGTAATCCCTAACTTTATGAACTACCAAATACAATTTTTACAAGCTGTCTGAAAGCTGATTATTCGATGGTTACACTGTAATCCCTAACTTTATGAACTACCAAATACAATTTTTACTCGCTATCTGAAAGCTCATTATTCGATGGTTACATTGTGATGTTATGCTTGAAATATGTCTTGAAGTTTTCTATACAAAATGTTTGAAAGCCAACTAAAAGAAAGCGACAGTCGAATCTTTGAAGGAAATTAGTTGTGATTAACTATTTTTTTCCCAACATTCGAGTACTTAAAATTATAATGAAGTCATGTGATGTAAAACAAGGAAAGTAGGTGATAATGTAACCATCCTAAAGTTCCATTATGATACTGCAAAAGGGTGCAGTTAACTAACTTTGCTTTTTGTGAAATGAACACATTTATTGGATAAAATCCATTTTTAAACTGTTTGCTTTTGGAAGGGATTTTTCCATATCATATCCTTATTTACGTAAATTTATATTTCATTTCTCTAATATATGCATGGTCTAGTATCGATAATTTGCACTTTGCTCTTGATCTTACTCTGAAGTTTTTGCTTGAGAATTCATCTCCGAATTGTAAAAGAAAATGTTTCGGCTGTGGATTCTTACTCGAAAAATATTCTCTGTGTAAATAATATAAATGTAGTAAGAGGTCACTACACATTTAGCATTTTGTGCAGGAATGCCATTTAAGCCTAAAAATAATATTTTTCCCTTTTTATAACGGTGAAATCCATTTCTTTAAAATACACCTAGAAATTATTAGATTTAATATCATCCGAAGTACTTGTTCAAAAGTGTTTTTCGTAAATGATAAATATTTCACACTTTTAATATTTATAATTTAATTTGCTTAGCAACTGCAGAACCTGTATTTTCTTTAAAGTTACCATATAAGTATAGGTATCATTACGATGGACATTTCAATATCATTAGTGTCTTGAGCTTTTTATGCTGTTTTGTATTCAATTTTTATAGTATATTTCAAAGTTTATCACTAGATGGCGCCATTACAGTGTCATGATTCACCTCTAACTCTATCAATTTATTTCTCTTTCATCAAAATTAAAAAAAACATGTTTAGTGCTTATGTCACAAAGCATTATTCAAAATGTATAAAGGCTTCTGTTTCATGACGAATAATACATATAGATATATATACGCAAAAAACTCTAAACTTGAGGTAATATGTCATTCACATAATGTATTCTAAAGTTTTCCAAATGTAGTCAGTAAACAATAAATTCTAAAACTCGAAACGACATCACTAAACCCAGTAAATTCAGTTTTTCGAAATAACATAACCTTATAATATGTTATTACGTATGAAATGTCGTCACCAACACACTATATATCTTAATTTTTTAAAATATTACTCAAATAATGTTCTATAATTATTGATGTGATACAAGAGTTTCTAACTTATGTAATGATATCACAGATACAACATTCTCTGTCCTCTGAAATTGAGTCATCAGCATAATATATACTGACCTTCATGAAATATATTTTTACTTTAAAAGTGACGGTCCCAACATAATGTATTATGACTTCTGATATTTCTTTACCAACCGATACTGCTGTAGCTGTCTGTGCCAAATGACGAGTTTCTTAGCTTAGTAAATAAAAGTGGAACATTTGGTAATTCTTTGTGAAAACTTCTATGCATTCCAATATACTTCAAATTTATGGTGCTAGTTTCTTAAGTTTATACTCATTTGTGGGTTTACAAGATGGTTGAAAAGCAAGGCATATCTTGTTGTTGATAGTATTAGAATGTATAGCAGTTTTATAGAAATAAAGTGTCACCCACAACCTCTTCTGTAAGCACTCTCTGAAAAATATGAAACCATTTCAGTAAAAAAAAAAATTGCTAACTTTTGCTTTAGAAGAAAAAAGTAAAATCGTAATTATAGGGTTTTGATTATAAGGCATGTGAACGCAAGGAAATGATATAATAATAGAAAAATAAACTGTTAATGAGTTTTTGTTGTTGTATAAAACTTTAATGGAAGATGGGGAAAATGTTTTATTTTTATCTTTAGAATGCATAGCGATTATAATTAAAGATTTAATAACATTTTAAAGAACGAATTACAACGAGTGAAGTTTCGAAAGTTTCAATATTTAATAACATACGTCAGAAATACGAAGTTGTGGATTTAGTGGTCAATGCTGTGCCTTTGAAAGTGATGTAAATCAATTGCTAAGTAACAGATTGTGAAAGACGTTCTTTAAAGTGATCTCTTATATTGTAATTTAGAGCCTTGTTCTTGTAACGAATTATATTGTCTCTTTCCCTCTGTTAACCTCAAAGCTCCTTATCTTCAATGTTTACCTGTGATTCGTTCAGACTTTAGAAAACCTATTCTGCCTGTCAGTTTGACAGACATATAGCTTGTTGAATTAGATCTTTTTTATTTACTGTTTGATATAAATATATGAATATAACTGAAACCATATATTACAGGTTACACTTATCATGTAATTTTTTCTGTATTTAGTAAGTCATTTAATCTCGTTTGTTGTTTGCTGTTAAAATGTTTAATAAAACAGATTTCGAGAATGCATTTTTACAGTTTATGTCAATTCTGTTACAATTTCGATTAATTTAGATATTTTTACATCACTAAGACATAGTGTTTCAATTTATATATTATTTAAATGATAAAGCCTTGTTCATTTATTACATTTGTATTTCAGCATTGATTCTTGCCATTTTTATCGAGTTTTATATTGTTGAATCAGCATTTTGACGGAACATTCTGTTGAACATATTTCCTATACTTGAAAACAGAGGGTTTTGTCGGTCAGGTTGAAACAAACTCCCAATTGGACCGCCTTCGCCAAAAATATTTGTCATCATTGACCATACCATTTCAAATTGTTTATTAATGATATTCCTTAGCGATACCAAAAATGGACTGTTGAAGAAGCCTTCTAAGCCTCCCTGCAAATATACAAAATTATCTTAGTTAATTTTAATGATGATTTTCTACCAAGGAAAAAAAATTAGAATTAACTTCTACATCCTGCACATAATAACATATATTTAGAATTTACCAGTTATGATTACTTGCATGAGGATATATAAATATATAGTAAATCTCTCAAAATCCATAGACAACTATAAAATGTGCCTAAGCATATTAAGCTTAGATTTAATTATTTTCTCCTATCGGTTGCGTCTCAAACTATTAATCCATATCAATTTCTACCTCTCTCACAAACACTTGTATGAAACTTTAATTACTAATATTTTAACTGACAGTCAGTTTTAAGATGAACTGAAAGGACGATTGCTTTTTTCTAATAAGAAATTGTATTCAACTAAAACACTGGTATATTAATTTCGAACAGCTTCAAGCTTTCACTTACCGTCTTATTCATCACACATTCATGGAACTACATAGAGAAAGACAAGAAGGTTTGTATTAAAACCGCACAAATACTGAACTAAAATACAAGTGCATAACATTAACGTGACGAAGGATATAGTCAGAAGATTCTAAGCCTGGATAATTTCTCGAAATTCGATTTAAAAAATTTTATAATCATATTCACGTGCTTTGTTAAACATTAAAAAGTAGTCAGAAGGGCAAACACACAGCTTGATTAAAGCCATATTACAATTTATTTTAGGATTTTGAATGATTTCCATTTATTTCAAATCAGTAAACAGTACTTCGCATGACTTTTAAAACGTTACATATTCCACAAATAAAGGCTTTTTTGTTTGTTTGAAGTTAAGCACAAAGCTAAACAATGGGCTATCTGTGCTCTGACCACCACTGGTATCGAAACCCGGTTTCTAGCATTGTAAGTCCGCAGGCATGCCGCTGTGCCAGATATTGAAAATATATTGAAAGATACTGAAAAAAAATCGTTCATTAACAATATATATATATAGATATATGAGTATTAATTTTTGTGCATCTCGAAATACTGTCAGTAATATCTATTTTTCCTTGTGCATCTTGAACTAGAGTCAGTGTTTTCTATGTCTATACTTGCAAGTCTTGAAATACTATCAATTTCATCTATATATTCCTACGGTCTTTAAATATTTCTAATATTATCTATATATGTTCCTCGAGTTTGGAGTATTGTAAATGTTTCCTTACCTCTTGAAACACTGTGCATAATTTGCCAACAAACTCGTTGTCTGTTAATCCAGGTAGAACAGCTTCTCTACACGTATTGAAAGCATCCTTCATCTATTATGATGAACAGGAAAGGTAATGATCAAAGGAAACTGGTAGGAAAAATACAAAATTAAGGAAATAAACAGAGGATTGAGTGTGTTATATTAAAACGATTTTTGAGCCTCGTAACTTTGTCAAAGTCCATGTCTTTGCGTCCGGTCATTTCCATTACAAATAGCTCCATCATTAGGATGCCATGTCCAAAGCATACTACTCCTTCGTGATACCTTCGTTTGTCCATCTAGTGTATGAGGACGATGCTTTCCCAGCGCCTGTTTTAACAGACGGATCACACAAAAATCTACAAGAACTGCGTCATGTGACTTGACCAATATGTCGTTGTATAGAACAGCATGAACATACCCTGTTGGCTTCGTTTCTAGACAGAGATCATTCTTGATTATGTTGCCTGAGCCATGTGGATGATTTTTTCACTGTATTTCGTGTTTGTAAATTCTCTTCTATTACAAAATACTAGATTTTGCATATCTCGGTTGAAGAACGACTTGGTGTAGGTCTCTTTCTGTGTGGTCCTGGTGTCTCAAGTTGATCCACGTTCTTTTATTTTCCAATTGAATTAAGTACAAGTAATTTCACCATCTTAAAATTTGTTATGGTATGAGTGTATGAATATTTTGCGTCGAAAACGGTTGTTTCTCAAAAGCAATCAATTTTTGATGGCTTCACATTAACACACAAACTGCGTTATGCCGAACAATGTCAAATGTAGTTCTGCTATATGTGTCAATTTATATCGGCTGTAAATGTCACGTGACATGCTCATTTGAATATTCAAAATCGTTTTAATATAATTTGCTCTGTCCGGATTCGTTATATGCATATATGAGAAAGACATATAAATCACGATGTCTTCATAGTAAAGACTTATTCCAAATACCCACGGAGGAACATAAACAAACATACATACACCTAAGTACGTAAAAATACATACAACCTCCTATGTACACAACGAAATAACGTCTCTATTAGGTAATCAAGTACGCATGCACCTACTTAGATGCACAGTCAGACTAATATCCAAAGAAAGATATACCCATCTATGTAAATACACATTCAAATATCTTCAACAGGTACACAAACATACACACTCTACCAAGCTACACAAGCGTACAAACACCCATCTAAATACACAAACTTCACTTCGTCCATCTACTTACAGAAGTAAACAAACATTTAGTTAGGTGTACAACTATACAAGCACCACTCAGATACACAAATTGTAAACATCACCAACGAGTACGAAAACAACAAACACCCACGTAGTTGCACAAGCAAACAAATATTCATGTACATACACAAGCACCCGCATAAGTACACAAGATGAGCATACATACACCCATCCACATAAACAAACATCCATCTAAATACACAAGTACGAATACTTATCCACCTAAGTACATAAACATGCAAACACCCATTTAGGTACAGAAGCATGTATACACCCACCGAGACACACAAACATTGATTTAAGTGCACAAATATACAATGTCATTACTAAGTACACAGGTATATATACACAACCTAGGTGCACAAGAATATAAAACGACGCCTACGTGTAGAAAAATACATATATATATATATATATATGTATATACCAAGGTACATAAACATACACTACCCAGCAAATATCCAACCACCTATTTTAAACAAGGAAATAAATACCCACCTAGACACATACAAGCCTATAAGTAGTCAAGTGGGTTCATAAGCATACATACATTCATTTAATTATACATACAGTCACCTTAGATGCACAAGTAGGTAAATTCGCATGCAAATACCTATTTGATTTACAAGCACACAAACATCCACCTAGGTATACAATAACACATATATTCACCTATTTACACAAACATTTAAACACACATCTACGTACATAAACATATAAACAACACACCAATATACTACCATACACATACGCCACCTAGGTGCATCTGTGCATATACAACATCTTAGTGCACATTCATACAAACAACATCAAAGTTTACAAGCATACAAACACCACCTTGACACACAAGCATACAAACACCACCTTGACACACAAGTATAACTGCATCACCCTGCTACACAATTATACCTAAACAAGTATAACTACACCACCTTACTACACAGTTATACCTAAACAAGTATAACTACACCACCTTACTACACAGTTATACCTAAACAAGTATAAGTACACCATCTTACTACACAATTATACATAAACAAGTGTAACTACACCATCTTACTACACAATTATATCTAAACAAGTATAACTACACCATCTTATTACACAAGTATACCTAAACAAGTATAACTACACCATCTTACTATACAAGTATACCTAAACAAGTATAACTACACCATCTTACTACACAATTATACCTAAACAAGTATAAGTACACCATCTTACTACACAATTATACCTAAACAAGTATAAGTACACCATCTTACTACACAATTATATCTAAACAAGTATAAGTACACCATCTTACTACACAATTATACATAAACAAGTATAGCTACACCATCTTACTACACAATTATACATAAACAAGTGTAACTACACCATCTTACTACACAATTGTATCTAAACAAGTATAACTACACCATCTTACTACACAATTATACCTAAACAAGTATAATTACACTATCTTACTACACAAGTATACCTAAACAAGTATAACTACACCATCTTACTACACAATTATACCTAAACAAGTATAACTACACCATCTTACTACACAAGTATACCGAAACCACTTTACTACAACAAATATACCTAACTACCTTGCTTCACAAGTATACCTACAACACCTTGCTACACAAGCATTCTTACACTACCTTCTTACATAAACATTCCTGCACCATCTTACTGCATAAACATCTCTACACCACCTTTCTACACAAACATTCCTGCACCATCTTACTACAAAAGTATACCTACAACACCTTGCTACACAAGTGTACCTACACCACTATGCTACACAGGCATTCCTACACTACCTTCTTACATAAACATTCCTACACCACTTTCCTACACAAACATTTCTGCACCATCTTACTACAAAAGTATACCTACAACACCTTGCTACACAAGTATACCTACACCCACCTAGGTAAATACGTATACAAAAATATGACTAAAATAATATTTAAATATTCTACGTATATGTACTATTTGATAAATATAGAAAAATAATGTGATTCGTTGTTTACTGATATTGTAGAATGAATTCATACAGATAATTATACCATTGAAATATACGAACTTTTTAACATTTTTTCAGCAAGCGTCAGATATCCTTGCGAATTGTTGCTTTGTCTCAGACAAAAAGCCAAGTGTCCTTTATTTGATGAATCAGATAATTGATTTTCCACTCTTAATTTGATATATGTCTGGGAAAATGTTAAGCAATTATTTAAATATATATATATATAAATAACTAAAGTATCAAATTAAATACTAATTTGTATCATCTTTTTGGCCTTTTTTTTCGCTAATCTCCGAAATCACAAATTTGATATTCATTTCAAAACAGATACGGGGAAAGAACAGTTTTGCTATCAATCAATTCATAAGTAATCAGCAGGTGTAGCTAAAATACTACTTGTATTTATGGGAAATTAAAGTACGGGGGATATTTTGTGGTTTCGCACGGATTCCAACCCAGCTTGCCAACTCTGAAATCCTGAGTTCTACCACAGATCCACCCGAACCCTAAATAAAACGAAGGTAAATATGAATTAATAGAACTTGAACATTTTCTAATTGATTTGCATGCTATTGGACCTCATTGTGGCAAGGAGTGGTTTTACAGTAAAGAAAAATACGAGATATAAGTACTTGATTGTATACTTTCTTACTGGTAAAGGTAGACCTTCTACTAAAGAATTCAATACTGGAATTGTTGCATCAGTAACGAAAGGTTGAGCTATAGAAAAAAGAAGAACAATAAATCAAAATGATGTAATGAAAATATTTAAAATAAATACTTTTAGGTTTTTAATTTTGTTTGTAGTTAAGCCCAAAGCTACACAATGGGCTATCTGTGTTGTGCCCACCACGAGTATAGAAACCCGGTTTTTAACGTTATATTGTCTGCAGACTTACCGTTGTGTCACTGGAAAACGTACTTTCCGGTAAAAATCTAATACCGGTAACAAGTGAGTGGAATACTTTAGACATTTCGAATAGTGAATTTAAGAATTGTATATCAAATCTTATAGTTTTAATTCTCGAACATTGTACTAAAGTAATATTACTTGTTTTTAACATTGCTCTTTTACGTAAGATGAACATCTTAAATTTTTCTTCACTTCGTATTGTGTGTAAACGAAAGCGTCTCGGTACAAAATCAAGTAAATGATAAAACAGAATTTCTAGTATTCGTTATAATAATAATAAAGCTTTTAACAGCAAACTGTCTTCAAATAAATAAAAACCAAATATTTTCTTGGTCGCTATTTTCCTTTTACCTCTCTCCACGTTATTTTTTTATTTCTTCGTTTATATAAACAACGTATAAAAACACATAATTTTCCATTAAAACTCAGGATACACTGATGTCAAACTAAAGATTGAATTAATTACTAAGATCGTTTGAATACTTACGGCAGGTTAGGGAAGAATAAGAAAGTGGTTGGGAAGTAAAAACGGGGAAACAAATAAAGGCCAAGATAAGAACTAAGCCTTTCATCATTATTTCAATTCACAATGAAATAACTCCCAATTGTTTCTAGGTTCACGGTGGTGACAAGATCTCAGTTACTATAGAGATAAACCTGGTTGAATTATACCTTCTCTACAGACAAATAGTTGCTATTTAAGTGGTAGAATAGATTGGAGAACACTGACAACTGGGGTTATTATATTTTGTAACTGCAGCTGAAAGGACAGGCCTAAAGGTGTAGACTAGTGAGTAATCAAGGGGAAGTGAACAAAGACAGCTGCTAAAACATACTTTGTGATATGCGAGTGTTGCTGTTACTAAAAGAGAAAAAAAAATGGGTAAGTGTTTAGAGCAAGTAGGGCATTCGAAGCATTTGTGTACACAACATCACGTGAGAGAACACGTTATATCGTTGATTTCTGAGAGGATTACAGACTCATGAATGTAATAGGAATTTCGTGCTTCTGGTAATATCTAACACAAAAAGGTTGGTGCCGTTGTAATTTCGTGCTTCTGGTAATATCTAACACAAAAAGGTTGGTGCCGTTGTAATTTCGTGCTTCTGGTAATATCTAACACAGAAAGGTTGGTGCCGTTGTAATTTCGTGCTTCTGGTAATATCTAACACAAAAAGGTTGGTGGCGTTGTAATTTCGTGCTTCTGGTAATATCTCACACAAAAAGGTTGATGCCGTTGTAATTTCGTGCTTTGGTAATATCTCACACAAAAATGTTGGCGCCGTTGTAATTTCGTGCTTCTGGTAATATCTCACGCAAAAAGGTTGATGCCGTTGTAAAATATTTGTTTCTTCCATATTGATAGACGTAACTTCTTCCGAAAAATAATAATTAGTATTAAAGTTCAGTATTTGGTAAAGATAAAACTTGGCAAACATTTAAACCAACAGAAATGCTAGTATGCATGAAATATTACCAAAACATGATGATGCACTTGAAACAATAGTAAAACTATACTCATACACACGAAACAAAAGTAAAACACATTGATTCACATGAACATCAGCAAACATGGTGATAAAAATGAAACACTACTACAGTGTACCGATACCTAAGAAACGCTAGCAAATCGTGATTATAAACATAGAACATAATAAAATATTCTGATAAACACAAAACACTATAAAAACAAGTCGATAAACATGAAAAACTTGTAAAATATGACGTTACAAATTAAAAATCGTCAAAACAAGAAGATACATTTCAAACACTAGTTAAATATAAAGAAACGCATTAAACAGGAGCAAAACTTGATGATGCACTTGAAACACTAATAAATCATATCACATATGAAACTTTATAAAACCATTATAATACACATCAAGTGCTGATGGTGTACTGTTAAAAACCGTGATAGGTGTGTCACTCTACTAAACCATGTTAATACTTATAAACACAACTAGTAAAACATACACTTGATGTGTATTATAATGGTTTTATAAAGTTTCATATGTGGTTTATAAGTATTAACATGGTTTAGTGAGTGACACACCTATCACGGTTTTTAACAGTACACCATCAGCACAACTAATAAAACATACCACATATGAAACTTTATAAAACCATTATAATACACATCAAGTACTGATGGTGTACTGTTAAAAACCGTGATAGGTGTGTCACTCTATTAAACCATGTTAATACTTATAAACACAACTAGTAAAACATACCACATATGAAACTTTATAAAACCATTATAATACACATGAAGTACTAGCAGATTGCGAGTTCAGCGTCCAACCACCAGGCCGTTGATAAAAAAACAAAAAAACAAATATTAACTCACGCGTATGTTCTATTGGGCAACAACGAAATCCACACACAATGCTGTACAGATATTTCAGTAACTTCAATTTAATTTTTTAAGCTTGAGAGGGAAATTTTTCACATATTCATCAAGATAACAGTTTAAGAAACATATCATAAAAGACGAATTCGCTAAACCATCGTCTACTGTATCTGAAACTTTGGTTAGTGAAAACGTTGTTTAAACGTAAGTATATTCTTTGTTGTATAACTTCTATGTGTGAAGCCTTGTTGCAGAACATATATTGTTATTTCTTTTCCAGCTTGTTGTCTTCGGTAAATAGACTTCCCAGGTATTTGGACTCTTTTTTACTTGATTGATGTTCAAGCCATATAGTGACGAATGTTTATTTTTGTGTGCTATGTTTTTCAATACTAATTTTCATGTCATGTCGCTTAAATGATTCATCTAATATCTTTAATAAGAGTTCTTGAGTTTTACCAATGTCTTAGTTGAAATTGTTTTAAAAGAAGTTCGTTAAAGTTATTCCTCATTATTGGCAGATTCTTTGCGGATGTTTTCAGCAGAGGAAAATTGAATAGGACTAACAACCAATGGCAGATCAGTAGTTTCGAGAAACAATAAAACATTTCGATGAAAACTGGGTGGCTTGTGAGTCATGACAACTAAACATGGTTGATTAGACAAATCTCGAGAAAAAAAGCTACAACAGAGAATTCTGAGAAAATCTGTAGTCAGGAAAGTAGGTTCATAGTATTATGTCACAGAAATAGTAATTCTACTTTTCAATATTTATATTTAACTAGCTGAACATACATATCCTTTTCTAAAGTGTTTTATTAACATTCCTGGTAACTGAAAAAGTTAATAACTAATTTATCACTAGATAATCTTATATGATGACATTTGTGATTATCGTTAAATATCAAAAGTGACACTTTTATTTGTATAATTATCAAACCATTTTAACAAGGACTCACTTAATTATTTAATCTTTTCACAATTTCGATAAGCTATTAATCCCCCCCTCTATTTTTTAAGTGTATGAGTGATAAGATAGGCATAGTCTAATGGTTAGCGTGCAGGGCTGTGAACCCAATAGTTCATACTTCGCACTCCCTTTATCGCAAAAAATAAATACATAATAATAATAATGCGCTCCGCATTAAAAAACGTGGGTGCGTTAAAAGAGTGAAACCTCACTATTTGATTAGAGTGACCCAAGAGCTGGAGGTTCCGCATTAAAAAACGTGGGTGCGTTAAAAGAGTGAAACCCCACTATTCGATTAGAGTGACCCAAGAGCTGGAGGTTCCGCATTAGAAAACGTGGGTGTGTTAAAAGAATGAAACCCCACTATTCGATTAGAGTGACCCAAGAGCTGGCGGGTCCGCATTAAAAAACGTGGGTGCGTTAAAAGAGTGAAACCCCACTATTCGATTAGAGTGACACAAGAGCTAGAGGTTCCGCATTAAAAAACGTGGGTGCGTTAAAAGAGTGAAACCCCACTATTCGATTAGAGTGATACAAGAGCTGTAGGTTCCGCATTAATAAACGTGAGTGCGTTAAAAGAGTGAAACCCCACTATTCGATTAGAGT